TAGGTTCTGGCCAAGATTCAATACTGTTGATTTTGTCGGGATCACATTGAATCCCTTGTTCTGAAACAATGTGACCTAAGAAAGAGACCTTTTGTTGAAACAAATCACACTTAGATGGTTTAAGGGTCAAATTTGCTGATCTTAATCTATCAAACACTATTTTCAAATTTTCTACTGCCTGTTCAAAACTGGAACCAAAAACAATGATGTCATCAAGATAACAAAGACATTTTTCCCATCTAAGACCCCTTAAAACTAGTTCCATTAGTCTTTCGTAACAACTAGGGGCATTAGAAATTCCAAAAGGTAGAACTTGGAATTGAAATAAACCCATGTGGGTGGTGAATGCAGTTTTAGGTTTATCTTCCTCTTCCATCTCACATTGCCAATAACCAGAGACAAGATCTAAAGTACTGAACCATGAGGCGCCTGCTAGTGCATCTAATGACTCGTCTATTCTAGGCAAAGGATAGGCATCCTTTTTAGTGACCTTGTTCAACTGCCTATAATCGACACAAAATCTCCATGTCTTATCTTTCTTTTCTACTAACAATAAGGGGGCAGACCATGGACTTTCACTAGGCTCTATGATGTTGTTACCTAACATTTTCTGGATTTCTTTTTCCACTATTTCTCTCTGTGCAAATGGTAACCTACGAGGTGGTATCTTTATAGGTTTGTGGTCTCCAGTATCTATCTTATGCTTGACTAATTTGGTTCTACCGAATTTTCCATCTGGACCAACAAATATGTCCTTATAGGAAACCAGCAAGTCGAACAAAGTTGATTTTTGTTCTTGTGTCAAGCATTTGGAAGATCTATCAAACAAAGATTGCAAATGTTCTGGTAATTCTGGTGAATCAGTAACATCTAACTCACTATTGGTATTTGACTGTACAATATTTACAGGTTGTAAAGAAGCAACAGTAGTATGCTTGTCAAATTTTATTGGCCTGTCTGAGATATTTGCTACACAAAATTGTATATTTTCTGGATTAACCAAGGTTCTTGCAACTAATAGACCTTTCTTGTGTAGAAACTGAAATGGTTCAACTAGATTATTTACAGATGTGTCCTTAACACCTACAGCATAACCTGGTACAATGATTTCACTATCAGGTGGAATGACTACTTTCTTAGACAACTTGACCCTAGTACACACAGGAGTATAGTCTCTTTCTAACTGAACATGTTGTTGATCGGCAAACATCAGTAAGCCTTGTGCAACCTGAATTGTCACATTATGTTGCTCGAGAAAATCCATTCCCAAAATACCCTTGAGGTCATCTACCTCTGCAACAATAAACTCATGACAAAAGCTACCATTTCCAAGGCTAAATTGAAGGTCAACTGTGCCTAAAATGTTCAAACTACCACCATCTGCTGCAGTAAGACTTAAATCTGTTTCTACCAATGCTGGTCTATTCTTCAAAGTCATAAAAACATTTTTGGATAAAATACTAGCCACTGAACCTGTATCAACTAAAAATTTATGTACAACATTCTCTACAGAACAATTGGCCAGTAAACAAGACTTTCCCAGAATATTGATCTTAATATTCTTGCCCTCTTTCCCATTACAACTCTGGGTCACACTATGGGCATCTAGAGCGACCCCTAATTGTTTTCCTGATTTGTCTGTTTGTCTGTCTTTGCAGGTGTAGAAAATTTTGAACCTTTGTGGGGACAATCCTTAGCTATATGCCCTAATTTGTGACAGTTATAGCACTCTGTATATGACATTTTCCCTGAATGTTTCCTTCCCCCTCTATTTGTTCTGTTGATTGATTTAGATAGTTTCTCTACACAAGATTCTAATGTCTTAAACAGTTCATTCAAACTTTTCGACTCAAGTGGAGAGTCTTGTTGATGTTTATTTTGTATGGAATCTGCTTGTTGAGGACCACTGTCTGATTTAGATTGTACTATATTTACACCCTCTACTTTCACTGGTTTTGAGATACTCAACTGAGAACCCTTAACTGCCTCGAATTCGATAGCTAATGATATAGCAGCTTCTAATGACTGAGGATGATGAAAAATGACATGGTCATGAATGGCAGAATTACCTATACCATTGATAAACTGTTCAAGGACATTGATCTCCCTATCCTTATATGTCATATCAGGAAATGCCAAACACCCTAGCCTCCTTAAAGAGTAACCATAGTCAGAAGGACTCTCACCAGGCTTTCTTCTACGTGACCTAAACTCGCACCTATGAGCAATAACTAACTCTTGTGGATTGAACCTTTTGGTCAAAATGGATTTAAGTAAATCATAATCAGACCTCTGTTCAACTGTAAGATCACCTAACAACTTCTGAGCTTCTCCTCTTAAACACATAACTAACTGTTGTCCCTGCTCATGATATGACCACTTATTCCACGAGGAAACTTGTTCAAAATGCACAATAAAGTCTTTCCATTCTACTGATCTACCATCAAACTTATCAGGTTCCTTTTCCTTTCTGATAGGATTGCTATGATCTGACCTATTGACCCTAGATGTGTCTACTGATGCAAATCTATTTGACCTTGTTGAAGGAAGAGAGAGTAGTGTGCCTAACTGTGTAGGTGTAGTCCTAGCTGTTTGACTTGTGCCTATTTGAGTAGTTGTATCTGTTGTAGACTTGAATGCATCTAACTGTGACCTATGTAGTGCTATGGACAACTCTAATTCCTGTTTCTCTAACTCTTTAATTTGTCTCTGTAATGCATCCATATCTGTTTCCCTACTATGTGAAGATGCACCTAAACTTACAGGAGAACCTTGAGTTGAATTCTTAAAAGTGACTTTCTTGTCTACTCTGGTACCATTATCAACAGAAGCACAACCTAACTTGGCACTCTCGTTCTGATTCACTGACTTTCTCTTCTCATACTCATTCTTCACTCTCTCATAGATTGCAGTCAGTTCTTGAAACTCTCTGTCCATCTCTCTCTCATTCATGCTATCAGGCTCTTTTTCAAGGGCTACAAAATCAGGGTAAAGACTATCATCTAATGCTTGATTACGGGCACCTTGAATATGAGTTTTAGGCCTAGCTCCACTATCTTTGGGTGTGGATGTATGGAAGGGAGGTAAAGGTGAAGTCATGGTTTCTGTCTAGAAATCCTGGTCACGGCACCAAAAATGTAACGGGACCAGTGTATTTTAGGGACAAAAATAAGGCAAACCTTTCCCAAAGTACAGGTTCTAACCCTTGTATTTATTTAATTAACTATAGATAGTACTTGGGATTGGAAAGTCTTATTACACTATTGAAGATATGAGCCACACTGGTTGAAATGTATACCCAGGTTCTTTAGTGATTCCTAGATTATGATCAACACCTTGTTTTAAATGAAAAGATTGTAAAGTTTTATAATTTATTATAACAAAGGTGAATATGATTTCAGACTAGTTGATAACAAAAAGTAATTATGGTTCCAAAATATAACTGCTGAATTTAATCAAAATGATTAAATAACAAGATATATGAAAAATAAGAGGGAGGGGGAAGAATGTGACAAAATTTTAAAAATGTATTTATTGCACTAAAGAGCTTCCATACACCCAAGAATGTAGGCCAACGCTAATAATAACACAGGGATAGCCTAAATATATTTATATTACTGAAATAAGGTAAGGGATATCTAATTCTACCCTGAACCAATGAGTGACTCTACTATGGGTAACTACATTCCTAACACTTTGCTATCGAACTTGAAGTTCTTAAAGCACGAACCTTGCCGTTCTTGACCCCTAGCAGAGTGAAGTTAACGAGTTGAGTAGCTCTATTTATAAGTAAAGGAAGCCAATGAAATACTAAAAATAAATGCCTAATATGATTGGCCAGGACTCAGTCTCTTAGCCAATGAAATTACAGAATATATATTACGTTTGGAATGACTGACAATATGGCGGGTACAACGAATTACTTAAAGAAGTGAAAGGTAAACATCTGTAATATCAAAATATTTGCTTTACACGATTTTAAAATGACTTCTGAAGTAAATAAATGTAATATAGACATAATATTTAAACTTTACAGTTGGAAATCTGATATCCTAAAGTCAAAATTGTCACACAAATATACCATATATATTCTTTTTTCCATGGGGTTAAAATTTTATGGAATAACAACTTCTGTTCAATCAATGGGTAGAAAATAGCATGGATTTCTTAGATTTTGTCTTAATTGTACTTCAAGTAAATTTGTAAAAATTTCTGACTGTGTACATAATGTAAATTAATACCACATGGAAAAAAGTAATTCTACAGTAATAGCTTCAGAGTGCTCATGCTGACAGTCAGAGATGAAAAAGAAAGAAGTTACGGTTTGGGCTTTATTGTGCCCTAAAAATTTAATGTTCTTAAAAAGTTATTAAATTGGCTATAACATGAGTTGAGTAGATGAATATGATAAATCATTAAAGAATATGGCATGAAGGAGGACCATTCTTGAAAAATGACATCATTAATTTGGTACATTTCTTAGTTTTATGCAGAAAAGCATCAAAATGACTCATTTCTGTGCTTACTTTCCTTTAGAAAATTAAGTGTCCGCAGCCCTCGCCCACTTCAATTTTTAGATATATTATGTAAAATGCTTTGAAAAATCACATATCTCAAAATCTTTGTGGGCTATGCGTGCACTCTATGTTTTCTGAAAGAAAATTCCACTGAAAATTGATGTTTTCTGCAACTTTAAAGAAAATATGGGAAAATGCACAAGTTCATGACATCACAATTGGCATTTAAGAGGTCATATTAGAAAAACAATTTGTATAATTTTACTGCATGGAATTTCAATAATTCAGAAAGGATGAAGTTTAATTTCTTACATCACTTCTAAATTTTAGAGAAATACAGGGCCAGATTTGTATTGAAACCGTACCTTGTTCTTTGCGACTGACATGCCCATTTTCTTTTTCTTAAAAATTGAACATATTTTCTTAAAATAGTGTAAACTACCAGTATGTGTTCTTTTGATTTAATTTTCAAAATCATTGCAGCTTCATCTGTGAGTGCAGTGCCAGCTTCATTAGTTATGGATGTAATGAAAGAAAATGAGGATCTGCAGAAACAAAGGTAACTTGGGGGAGTACTGATCAAAGGCTACACATAATTGAATAGAAGCTAAACAGGGAATTGTGTTTGTCATCATAAATAGTTTTTTAAAATATGAAACCATGATACTATGTGAATGTTTTCTTCCACTGAATTTTCATATTCTGTATTTGATGAGGAACTAGCAGTAAAAAATATAACTCAAATAACATGTAAATAATGAAATGGAAAAAAAATTCTACAAAACTGAAATTGAACAAAAATGACACTGCTCATAACTGAAATAAATTAAAATCATTATGATAATAAATCTATATGAAGTAACATCTTGAGACATTTAAGGGGGGATTCTTGTCTGGTTTCTGACCAGATGAAATATTCAAAGTATATTTGCTTATATGTTTTATATATTTAGATGTAAGAGATTTAAAAGATCATTTTTTTTCTTTCTGCATCACAATTGTACAACTTTAAATAGAAATGGTAAACTGAGTTTGAAATCTAGTAGGGACTATATTTTTGGTGGAATGGCAGCGTATGAAAATATCTTATTTTCTGCCTCTCAGAATTATTATAGAACAATGAATTTAGTTATAATATTATACACAATCAAGACTTGAAGAAATTTTTAAATGTAAGTTAAATTAATAATAAGTGACTAAAGTTTTAAAATATGTCAAATAAATATGATTTTCCAAACAAACTACAATTATTAGCTCACCTGAGCCGAAGGCTCAAGTGAGCTTTTCTGATCACATTTTGTCCGGCGTCCGTCTGTCTGTCCGTCTGTCTGTCCGTCCGTCTGTCTGTCTGTAAACTTTTCACATTTTTGACTTCTTCTCAAGAACCACAGGGCCAAATTCAACCAAACTTGCCACAAAGTATCCTTGGGTGAAGGGGATTCAAGTTTGTTCAAATGAACGGCCACGCCCTCTTTCAAGGGGAGATAATTAGGAATTAGTGAAAAAATAATGGCATCATTTAAAAATCTTCTTCTCAAGAACCACTGGGCCAGGAAAGATGAAACTTATGTGGAAACATCCTCAGGTAGTGTAGATTCAGGTTTGTTCAAATCATGACCCCCGGGGGTAGGGTGGGGCCACAATGGGGGATCAAAGTTTTACATAGAAATATATAGGAGAATATCATTAAAAATCTTCTTCTTAAGAACAGCAAAGCCATGATTGGTCATATTTATATGGAAGCATCCTCAGGTAGTGTAAATTCAAGTTTGTTCAAATCATGACCCCCGGGGGGTAGGGTGAGGCAACAATGAAGGATCAAAGTTTTACATAGAAATATATAGGAGAATATCTTTAAAAATCTTCCTCTTAAGAACAGGAAGGCCATGATTGGTCATATTTATATGGAAGCATCCTCAGGTAGTGTAGATTCAAGTTTGTTCAAGTCCTGACCCCCGGGGGTAGGGTGGGGCCACAATGAAGGATCAAAGTTTTACATAGAAATATATAGGAAAATATGTTTAAAAATCTTCTTCTTAAGAACAGCAAAGCCATGATTGGTCATATTTATATGGAAGCATCCTCAGGTAGTGTAGAATCAAGTTTGTTCAAATCGTGACCCCCCGGGGATAGGGTGGGGCCACAATGGGGGATCAAAGTTTTACATAGAAATATATAGGAAAATATCTTTAAAAATCTTCTTCTTAAGAACAGTAAAGCCATGATTGGTCATATTTATATGGAAGCATCCTCAGGTAGTGTAGATTCAAGTTTGTTCAAATCATGACCCCCAGGGGTAGGGTGGGGCCACAATGGGGGATCAAAGTTTTACATAGAAATATATAGGAGAATATCATTAAAAATCTTCCTCTTAAGAACAGGAAGGCCATGATTGGTCATATTTATATGGAAGCATCCTCAGGTAGTGTAGATTCAAGTTTGTTTAAGTCCTGACCCCCGGGGGTAGGGTGGGGCCACAATGAAGGATCAAAGTTTTACATAGAAATATATAGGAAAATATGTTTAAAAATCTTCTTCTTAAGAACAGCAAAGCCATGATTGGTCATATTTATATGGAAGCATCCTCAGGTAGTGTAGAATCAAGTTTGTTCAAATCGTGACCCCCGGGGATAGGGTGGGGCCACAATGGGGGATCAAAGTTTTACATAGAAATATATAGGAAAATATCTTTAAAAATCTTCTTCTTAAGAACAGTAAAGCCATGATAGGGTGGGGCCACAATGGGGGATCAAAGTTTTACATAGAAATATATAGGAAAATATCTTTAAAAATCTTCTTCTTAAGAACAGTAAAGCCCCCCCCCCCCCCCCCCCCCCCCCGGTAAACTTTTTTTTTCCTAGCCAATATGCTCAGGTGAGTGACGTGGCCCATGGGCCTCTTGTGTAAGCTTTTAAAAGCTTCAAATCTAAGTACAGGTTTGAGCCAAAAATCCATAAAAAGTGTTTTCGCTCTCTTAGTTAGCAATCAAAACTTTTTGTTTTTATATCATTTTGCATCTTTTTGTGACAACTTTACCATGTGTGAAAATAAGAAAAATTAAATATAGGAAGCATATAAAAATAACTAAAATATCCTAAAAATTTAAGAAATTTAAAATAGAGAAAATTCAAATTAGTCAGTATCCATTTTAGTTAAATTACATGTATTTATGCCAATTTGGTAATATCATCTTATAGAACCTATATGGTAATATCTCTTTATGCAAAAAGAAAAACATTTAATCTTTTGAAATAGAAGTAGGCATCGCATGATTGGCAACAGTTACTGTAATTTTTTATTCTTAATGTCTGGGAAAAGGTAATGACCTTGACCTGACCTTGCCTCTAATATAAAACGGTCAAACTTAATCTAACTGATACCATCACTTAATTATATTGTCTTCTTGATTCTGTGAAAATTTCATTGATTTTTAAATTCTAGAAATATGAGAAGAATCCCTCCTTAAGAAAACTTTTTGTACCAGAATTTCAAATGATTACCTAAGTCAATGATAAAATGAAAAACAATGCAAACAGAAAGTAATATTTTGGAGTGCTTATATTTATCATTGTTCTCCATAGAGAGGCCTATGAGATTGAACTGAACAAGATAAATCTCCGTATCCACTTTTCTGCCTGGTTCACGGAGGGTAATGGGGCCCTCCAACCACAAGATCCTCAGTCCAATTACCTCCCCCTGGAACTGGACCGTCGACAGAGCCTGGCCGATCTTCTGATTGCAGTAATGGAGGTAAATAGGGGCAGGTAATGGATTCACAGTTGTTAGGTGGTGTGGGAAAGTTTTTGTGGTGGGGGGTTATAGCAATATTGTACTGGATTTTTAGGTTTCATATAGCAGAATGGCAACTAAAACATTTATTACAAAAAGAGTTTTTAGCTTATTGTTTTTCAGATTTCATTTGAAAATGTTAAAATTTCTATAGATTTTTGAAATGAAATATAAGTACATTTGAACTTTGGAATCTCAAACACTGATATCTCAAATACCACAGGTATGTCGAAGTGATATGGAAGTCTTAACCCCCATTCTTGAAGTATCTTACCCCGGATATCTCAAAGTTTTTTGTTGGTCTCTTTGAGTTCAAAATAAAGAGGTTTGACTGTATATCTATCAAGGTGCCATCTGTATAATAACAATAATTGCCTGTTTTAGATTGGAGGAGAGTTGGTGCCAGAGAACTTTGTTATCCACACGATGAAGGAGCTACCGTCTGGATATCATCTCTACTCCAAGCTTACAGGTAACATTACCCAAGCTCAGATCTCAGCTAAAGGACTAATTTGTTAATTGAATAAAATTATTTTCAAAGACATATTATTTTCACTGTGAAATAAAATTCTCCTTCTCTTCATGAGGATTGTTAAAGGAAATACTTCCTATTGATAGTGGGAGCAAGTTAAACCATTCTGACACTGATTAAAACTGCCAAAATTTCTCCAAATTGTTGTTAAAATGCATATTTTTAGCTCACCTGAGCTGAAAGCTCAAGTGAGCTTTTCTGATCACATTTTGTCCGTAGTCCGTCTGTCCGTCTGTCCGTCCGTCTGTAAACTTTTCACATTTTCGACTTCTTCTCCAGAACCACTGGGCCATTTTCAACCAAACTTGCCACAAAGCATCATTGGGTGAAGGGGGTTCAAGTTTGTTCAAATGAAGGGCCATGCCCTCTTCCAAGGGGAGATAATTAAGAATAAGTGAAAATTTGGTGTCTTTTTTTAAAAATCTTCTTCTCAAGAACCATTGGGCCAGAGAAGTTGAAACTTATGTGAAACCTTCATTACATAGTGTAAATTCAAGTTTATTCAAATCATGACCTCCCAGGGGTCGGGTGGGGCCACAATGGGGGATCAAAGTTTTACATAGGAATATATAGGAAAATTCTTTAAAAATCTTCTTCTCAAGAACAACAAAGCCACAATTAGTCATATTGATACGAAATCATCCTCAGGTAGTGTAGATTCAAGTTTGTTCAAATCATGACCCCCGGGGGTAGGGTGGGGCCACAATGGGGGATCAAAGTTTTACATAGGAATATATAGGAAAATTCTTTAAAAATCTTCTTCTAAAGAACAACAAAGCCACAATTAGTCATATTGATATGAAATCATCCTCAGGTAGTGTAGATTCAAGTTTGTCCAAATCATGATGCCCGGGGGTAGGGTGGGGCCACAATGGGGGATCAAAGTTTTACATAGGAATATATAGAAAAAATTCTTTAAAAATTTTCTTCTCAAGAACAACAAAGCCACAAGTAGTCATATTGATACGAAATCATCCTCAGGTAGTGTAGATTTAATTTTGTTCAAATCAAGACCCCCGGGGGTAGGGTGGGGCCACAATGGGGGATCAAAGTTTTACATAGGAATATATAGGAAAATTCTTTAAAAATCTTCTTCTCAAGAACAACAAAGCCACAATTAGTCATATTGATATGGAATCATCCTCAGGTAGTGTAGATTCAAGTTTGTTCAAATCATGACCCCCGGGGGTAGGGTGGGGCCACAATAGGGGATCAAAGTTTTACATAGGAATATATAGGAAAATTCTTTAAAAATTTTCTTCTCAAGAACAACAAAGCCACAATTAGTCATTTTGATATGGAATCATCCTCAGGTAATGTAGATTCAAGTTTGTTCAAATCATGATGCCCGGGGGTAGGGTGGGGCCACAATGGGGGATCAAAGTTTTACATAGGAATGCATAGGAAAATTCTTTAAAAATCTTCTTCTCAAGAACAGCAAAGCCATGATTTGTCATATTGATATGAAATCATCCTCAGGTAGTGTAGATTTAAGTTTGTTCAAATCATGACCCCCGGGGGTAGGGTGGGGCCACAATGGGGGATCAAAGTTTTACATAGTAATATATAGGAAAATTCTTTAAAAATTTTCTTCTCAAGAACAACAAAGCTACAATTAGTCATATTGATATGAAATCACCATTAGGTAGTGTAGATTTAAGTTTGTTCAAATCATGACCCCCGGGGGTAGGGTGGGGCCACAATAGGGGATCAAAGTTTTACATAGGAATATATAGGAAAATTCTTTAAAAATCTTCTTCTCAAGAACAACAAAGCCACAATTGGTCATTTTGATATGGAATCATCCTCAGGTAATGTAGATTCAAGTTTGTTCAAATCATGACCCCCGGGGGTAGGATGGAGCCACAATGGGGGATCTAAGTTTTACATAGGAATACATAGGAAAATTCTTTAAAAATCTTCTTCTCAAGAACAACAAAGCCACAATTAGTCATATTGATATGAAATCATCCTCAGGTAGTGTAGATTTAAGTTTGTTCAAATCATGACCCCTGGGGGTAGGGTGGGGCCACAATGGGGGATCAAAGTTTTACATAGGAATATATAGGAAAATTCTTTAAAAATTTTCTTCTCAAGAACAACAAAGCCACAATTAGTCATATTGATATGGAATCATCCTTAGGTAGTGTAGATTCAAATTTGTCGAAATCAAGATCCCCGGGGGTAGGGTGGGTCCACAATAGGGGATCAAAGTTTTACTTAGGAATAAATAGGAAAAATCTTTTAAAATCTTTTCAAGAACAGGAAAGCCGTGATTAGTCATTTTGATATTGAAGCATCCCCAAGTATTGTAGATTCAAGTTTGTTCAAGGCATCCTCCAGTAGTAGTGGTGGGGCCATAATCGGGGATCAAAGTTTAACAAAAGAATATATATAAGAAATATCTTAAAAAATCTTCTTCTCAAGAACAACAAAGCCATAATTAGTCATATTGATATGGAAGCATCCTTAGGTAGTGTATATTCAAGTTTGTTCAAATCTTGAACCCCCCCCTCCCTTCCTACCCCCCAGGGTAGGATGGCAAACATCTTTAAAATTCCGTTTCAAGAACAGCAAAACCATGATTAGTTATATGAATATAGAAGCATCCTCAGAAAGTTTAGATTCAATTTCATTCAAAACATGGCAACTGGGGATAGGTTATGCCTAGAACAGTTGATCAAAGCTTTACGTATGAATATATAGAAGAAGAAATCTGCTGACAAAGAACAGCAGGGCCATATTGACTCAGGTGAGCGTTGTGGCCCATGGGCCTCTTGTTCAATATCCCAGTTGCTTTGTACACATGAAATATGATCCTCGAGTCTGTATTTTACCAATCTCCTATGCAGAGTTGTCGTTCGTTCCTCTCTCAGACACCTCTGCAATGGGCTTGCGTCAAGATTTTTGACGTAACGTAAGAAACATAACATTTCAAAGATTATTTCAAATTAAACTAAGAGTTTTATATTTATTTAGTAAATATCTATCTTTAAGGACTATCATTAGCTCAGGCATTAATTATAATGAATTTAAAAAACTGCACTATTTCTTGTGCTTATCACTGTGATATACGCGAGCCAATGACAGAGGTGAATGTATGAGCCGATGGTAGAGAGTGGTATTTTACATGAACAGTATGTTGTTGTTAATTCTCAGGTTCAGATGATGTGACCATCCAAAGCCTGGGGGTAGGGGATGAAGCATCACTGTTTGTTTGGGATGGAAAGACGGTAAGATAACGGAAAATACTGAAAAGGAAAACCAGGGGCCCGTTTTACAAAAGAACTTACAACTAAGACCAATAACTTCAGTTGATTGTAAATTTTTGCAAAATTAATGATTCTGTTTAAAATTTCTAGGGTAAAAATATCTTACTACATTCCTTTTAAAAAGATTAAAACTATTTTCAATATAATGTGAATTAAAAAGTTATAAGCAGAATTAAATTTTGGTCTTCGTCATAAGTTCTTTTTAAAACGGGCCCCAGAACAATTTTATGTTATCTTCTTGATAATTTCAATTTTTCATGATTGAATTTTACCAGTATTGAAAACTAAGTCTTGAGATTTTTGTGTTAAGTTTTTCACTGCCCTTGAGTGATTCATCATGAATGTAAATCAAGAAAGAAATGATGTACCTAAGTTACTTAGTTTTACTGTCCAGGTTGATGGAGTAACTGTGGCAGTAGGTGAAGAAACTGAACCCATCCTGCTAAATATAAATCCACCTGAAGGGGATTCCCTCATCAGGGGGTTTCCCAAGAATATGTTATTGTCTGATGTATTGGATATAGCCTGTGCAGAATATCTACTTTACCCAAACTCTGTCAGCATGCAGAGGTTAGTGGGGAAAGGTGAGTTTGCAAATTGTATAATTGATTGAACTAAAGATTTAAAGTTAACCAAAGTTTTTAGTGGCTTAGTTGAAAAGGTTGCCTAAGACTCCAAAAATAGAGAATCCTTACTGAGGCTAGCTCTTCACCTTGTAACATTTGTAGTATGTAAAAAAAAAAAAATTCTTCAATAACATGTATTCCAAGATCAGCTTTCCTGATAATATTCTTGTACTCAATATTAATATCTAATAGTAATAGAGTGTGTCGTAGACCCCAGTATCACATCATTGATGATGAAGGAATATGTAAGCCAGGATTTTATTGGCTGGTATAATTTTACCATGTGTCCTAGAATTCATGTCCTGTTAAAGAGACCTGATTCTTCTGTTACATAGATACCATTGTAAAACGGTTCAGTGTATCATGAAACTTGCAATTTACATGGACAACTTTCATGTGCATGAAGTGGGCTTTATGATCTTGTTGTTTACTTTCCAAACAGGAAGTTAAACAATAAATCAGTAGATTTTATAAGTACAGTAAAACATAGCTTATAGTGAAGTGCCAAGGACAGATGATTTTGCTTCGTTTTAAATGTAATTCATTATATCCGTTAAGTTCACAATATATTTTTAAGCCATGGGGAATGAAAATAGCTTCACAGTAAGCGTCAATTCATTATAAGCGTGTTGGCTATAAGCGTGTTTTAATGTAATCTAAATCTGCATAAACTAAAATAGACATAGAAACTAAAATACCAAGGAAGAAGTAAATATTATGAAAAAATAGCATATAATACTGTTTATATTTATTATTTCAGGAGAACAAAAGCTGCTAGCATTTACATCAGAGGAAATGTCTAAATCAATCACTGAACTCAAGCTAACCAATGGATCAGAATTATTTCTTGTACAGGAGTCAGAACAGTAAGATTTTCATCCGTTCTACTTTCAGACAGTTGTTAATTATTCCTGTCATTGATTTTTTAAAACTCAATATACATGTATATAGAGTTCTTCTCTTCCATTTTCAGAATTACCCGTCCAACAAATGTACCTGTAAATGTCAAGTTTACAGTTAGCATAGAAAATAGGTGCCAGGTCAGTATAATGTAACTGTTGACTAATCAGTCTGTAATTTTGTTGATGAAAAAAAAAATGTTATCTACATGTATTTTCATTTGCAGGATACACTGCAAACAACTCAGCAAATATAAATATGCACAGTTGAAAAGATTTAATTTTAATAAGCAAGAATTTGATGTATGCATGTACATGCATTAGCTGTTAAATGTATATGCACAATGCATGAAAAATCACAAAGCTTAACATTTAGATAAATAGTAAAACACTCTTATAGTGAAGTGCCTGGGACAAACAATTCTGATTCACTGTATCATATTCATAATGTAATATATCCAATAAGTTCATAATATGATTGAAAACTGTAGGGAATGAAAATCGCTTTGATCTAAGCAGGAATTAATTATAAGTGTGTACCCTATATGCATGTTTTACTGTACGTCTTTTGTAGGGAGGAGATGGACCAAAAGGAAGCATTCAGCTGCAAGCATTGCCCACAGATGTAAATATCTATAACATACATGTTTATACATGTAACTGTCTCTACAGTGTAATAAAAGCATGATGCTCATAGCTTGATAAATTTCAGTATAGTTCTAAACAAAAATTATTATTCACAGCCGAAATGCGTACTGCTCTGATCAATATTCGATCCAAATCTTATTGGCATTATTTTGTTACTACATGTACATGTATTTATACTCTTGATTTCAGATAACCTTTTTACTGTTTATTTTCCTGATTCTGTTCTATTTATAGTCTGTCTCTCTGCTGAAAGCATTGGCAGTGTCTAAGTTCAGACTTCCTGAGATTCAGGATGGGGGCAGATTGCGTGTAGAACACGAGACCCTTGGACTCAAATCACCATGTAAAATCTCTATGAATTTTTCCTCATCTAATCAGACACTTTTTCATCACTGTATTGAGATTCACTTTTTATACACTTCCTTACAAACATCTTTTGTAAAAACAGGGTAGGAAAATGTGTAGAGTTCCTTATCATATAGCTATTGTCGAAGTACTTTTTTCCATATGATATTGATTTATGCTATGTACATGGCCACAATGTTTCTGTAGAAATTTGTCCCAGCATACTTAAAGCACATGTAAGGCATACCGTGGCAATCTAAGAAATCTGTGTAATTTTCTGTCTGTGAATTAAACGGAGATTGTGATTCCGCGGAATTATGACCCCTTGCAAAAAAGTATGTTTAAAGTATTCATTTAAAAAGTGATAGTGGTACTCGTTGTGAAGACTGATAAACTGTAAAACAACTTTTCTATGATTTCGTAGTTAAATGTAATATATATGTAAGTGTTCGTTATTAACTTAGATCCATATGAAGTGTTAGTAAATTCTGTTGCAGTATGTGATGAGTTAACTTTGTTGGAGGCAGGAATAAGTAAAGACTCCAAACTTGTCTTAGAACCAGGACAAGCCCCAAAGTCTAACCAGGTGAGATACATGTAGAAGGCATGTGCAAACTTTAGTCTTTTGTACATACAGTAGATTGTAGCTCTTTGACATATATGTACGTGAAGGTCTTCACATTGCATTCAATACAGTATCTTTATGTTAGCAGTACTATTTGTCATTCTCTTTGTTTTATCAGATTTGTGTGTAATAATGTTTTCATAAATTTTGTTCTTAGATTACTGTGAACATTACAACTGATGGTTCAGAGCTGGGACTAACAGACACAGTAGAAATGTTGGTTAACAGAAACCAGACCGTAGGAGATTGTTTGACCTGTGTGTTAAACAGACTGAGAGTGGAAGGTAATGCACCAAATGCAAAATAAAATGACTCGCCTTTATTATTCCCTCGCATTGAAGTTTGAGGGGATATACAGTGTAGTAACCCACTTGTGTGTATGTGGGTGAGTCTGTGCATAACTTACGCAAATAATAATGTACATGTACATGTATATCGGGATTGATATGCTCTTCTGCAAGAGGATGCTCCGCTGTGCAGTCTTCTTGTTTTTAGTTGCTGAAATACATGTAAAAGCTCTTGGTGAACAGTCCCCTTTAATTCATATTCTGCAAGTCATTCTGTGATATTTAGTACTTGCATAAAATAAGGAATCTACTGTATTGCAAGTTACTTAAAATAGATAGGTGCTAGTGAATCTGGGTAATATTTTCATTTAGACCCGAGCTGGCACCTGCGTAAAACTAACTGGTGCGGGGAAGCAGCAGACATACTGAATGACATGGAGTCGACATTGGAGCACAGCTTGGTGAGAGATGGCGATTTGTTGATCCTAGAGAAGGGGAGGCTACCACCAAAGGTAAGAGGACCAGTTAAACTAGTTGTTGTAGCTGCAATAATGTAGCCCTCTACGATTTTTTTTTTGTGGGGGGGGGGGGAGAGGGCTACACCTCCTTAGGATCTCCGTAATGGTGCAAGTGCGGGAGTGATTCACTACCGCACAGATTTTGGCTCAAATTATCAGAAAGTGGGTATTTTATTAACATGTCTTACCTGAACTCATAAAATGTAGTTATGTAAGACATGAAATGATCCAAAAATATACAAATTATTCCGTACATCGGTTATTTTTTGTGTATGTCAACATCACAACTTAAATTTATCCGCCATGTTTACTGACCTTGATCGATTTTAATTTTGGGACAACCAATGAGAATTCGGGATCAAGGGGAGCGGATCTTAGATTTCCCTATTTTAAGCATAAATATTACTGTTTATGAAAACATGTCACATGGAATGCTTTTATGTATCGAAGTTTAGTGATACCATACAACACAATCATTTATCAACACCAACATTTGCGTTATCAAGTGATTCTAAAATTCAAGCGCAAGTCTCAGTACATCACGCGAGAACTGTCATGGCTGCTGAAGAGAACAACTGGTAAACACGCAGATTTATTTTACTTGGTTTTCGCGTTTAAAGGGCTATGATGTTGATAGTGAATAAAAATTCTGTCTTATTGGAAGTAAGTTGTTTGTAAAAACAATTTATTTTGCCCGCAGTCGTCCGTATCTAAAAAATGTATTTGCACCATTACGGAGATGCAGTGGAATTGTAGCCCTCTCCTGAAAATAAAAGATTAAAAAAAAATCGGAGAGGGCTACATTATTGCAGCTATAGTTGTTGTTATTCATTATAAGAAAAGTCACTGTATAGAGAATAATGTCAATAAATTATGGAAACAATTTCCAATGACCAAAAAAAAACCCCAGAATTTCTTGATAAATTGACTGTATTAAAATATAGCATTGAGATGATGATTTCACAGTAAGCTTTTTTTTTAGCTCACCTGAGCTGAAAGCTCAAGTGAGCTTTTCTGATCACATTTTGTCCGTTGTCCGTCTGTCAGTCCGTCCGTCCGTCTGTAAACTTTTCACATTTTCAACTTCTTCTCCAGATCCACAGGGCCAATTTAACCAAACTTGCCACAAAGCATCCTTGGGTGAAGGGGATTCAAGTTTGTTCAAATGTAGGGCCATGCCCTCTTCCAAGGGGAGATAATTAAGAATTGGTGAAAATTTGGTGTCATCTTTTAAAAATCTTCTTCTCAAGAACCATTGGGTCAGAGAAGTTGAAACTTATGTGAAACCTTCATTACATAGTGTAAATTCAAATTTGTTCAAATCATGACCCCTGGGGGTAGGAAGGGGCCACAATGGGGAATCAAAGTTTTACATAAGAATATATAGTAAAATTCTTTAAAATCTTCTTCTCAAGAATAACAAAGCCATGATTAGTCATATTGATATGGAAGCATCCTCAGGTAGTGTAGATTCAAGTTTGTTCAAATCATGACCCCCAGGGGTAGGGTGGGGCCATAATGGGGGATCAAAGTTTTACATAGGAATATATAGGAAATTCTTTAAAAATCTTCTTCTCAAGAACAACAAAGCAACAATTAGTCATATTGATGTGGAATCATCTGCATCTAGTGTAGATTCAAGTTTGTTCAAATCATGACCCCCAGAGATAGGGTGGGGCCACAATGGGGGATCAAAGTTTTACATAGGAATATATAGGAAAATCTTTAAAAATCTTCTTCTTAAGAACAACAAAGCAACAATTAGTCATATTGATATTGAATCATCTGCATGTAGTGTAGATTCAAGTTTGTTCAAATCATGACCCCCAGAGATAGGGTGGGGCCACAATGGGGGATCAAAGTTTTACATAGGAATATATAGGAAAATCTTTAAAAATCTTCTTCTCAAGAACAACAAAGGAACAATTAGTCATATTGATATGGAATCATCTGCATGTAGTGTGGAGTCAAGTTTGTTCAAATCATGACCCCCAGAGATAGGGTGGGGCAACAATGGGGGATCAAAGTTTTACATAGGAATATATAGGAAAAATCTTTAAAAATCTTTTCAAGAACAGGAAAAACATGATTAGTTACATGTATATTAATATTGAAGCATCCCCAAGTATTGTAGATTCAAGTTTGTTCAAGGCATCCTCCAGTTTTAGGGTGGGGCCATAATGGGGGATCAAAGTTTTACAAAAGAATATATATATATATATTATATATATATATATATATATATATATATATATATATATATATATATATATATATATATATATATATGAAATATCTTTAAAAATCTTCTTCTCAAGAACAACAAAGCCATGATTAGTCATTTTGATATGGAAGAATCCTCAGGTAGTGTAGATTCAAGTTTGTTCAAATCATGACACCTCCCCCCCCCCCCCCCCCCCCCCCCAGAGTAGGGTGGCAGACATCTTTAAAATTCCATTTTCAAGAACAGCAAAATCATGATAAGTTATATGAATATAGAAGCATCCTCAGAAAGTTTAGATTCAATTTCATTCAAAACGTGGCACCTGGGGGGTAGGGTATACCTAGAACAGGCGATCAAAGCTTTACATATGAATATATAGGAGAAGAAATCTGCTGAGGAAGAACAGCAGGGTCATATTGACTCAGGTGAGCATTGTGGCCCATGGGCCTCTTGTTTGTTCAGTTAAAATTTTTTCAAGAAGAATTCAAATATAATAGAACTGATTTAAAATTCATTATTGTTAGGGGTTTATCTGTCCGGAGATTTGGCTGTTCCCGATATTGGACAATGTGCAACAGAGCAACAAGACTGGATTTCTCTCATGGCTGTCCACAGGAATTCAAAGTAAGGCACATCTTAGATGATTAAAATTAAAATTTATGCTTAAAACACATGAGTTCAAGTCATACTAAAGAAATGTAAATTAAATGATTGAAGAAAGAGTGGAAGTTTGATTGGAATTAAGCTTTTTATGCCCCAGGATCGAAAGATCCCGGGGGTGTATTGTTTTTGTCCTGTCTGTCTGTTTGTCTGTCTGTCTGTTGTCAACTTTAACCTAACCCATAGCTATTGCGCTGTCAAGGGTAAGGCTTTAATATTTGACATGAGTGTTCATTATGACAAGACCTTTCCTTTGGTACCACCATATATGACCTTTTGAGTTCGACCCAGTTTTGCAAAATTTTACCAAACTTTAACCTTGGCCATAACTTTTGAACAGTTGGTGCTAGGGCTTTCATACTTCACATGTGTAATCCTTGTGACAAGACCTTCGTTTGAATACCAACAACTTTGACCCTTTGACCTTGACCTTGGAGTTTGACCTACTTTTGGAAAACTTTAACCTTGGCCATAACTTTTGAACGATTGGTGCTAGGGCTTTCATATTTCACCTGTGTATTTCTTGGGAGAAGGTCTTTCTTTTGGCACCATTAATTTTGACCATTTGACCTTGATGTTTGACATACAGTTTATTTTTGAAATAAACTTTAACCTTTTCCATATCTATTCAATGGTTGCTGCTAGGCCTTTCATATTTCACAGGTTTATTCCTCGTTACAAGACCTTACTTTGGGTATCAACATATTTGATTTGCATATGAGAAAGTTTAACCTTTGCTATAAGTTGCCATACGGGGGCATCAGTGTTTCACAAACACATCTTGTTTAAACTTATGATGATTTGCTTGCAATATTGTACATGTGGTGCATGCTCTCTGATGGCTGCTCTGAGGCAGTTAATGAGAGACAGTATGTGCAGTGGGCCATCTGAGGTTTATTAAGTTTCATCTAAAAAAAATCCTTATTCTATATCTATGTCATGATTTTTAGCTTTCATGTATAAGGTGCAATGGGTTTTTTAAGATTTCAATTTAGACATTTATTGTTCTTTCACCACACAGATCTTTGGAATACTTCCTCAGGGAAAGTAACTCCTGAAAACAGAAAAGGAGCTCTTCATATAGGGGAGGTACAGGTGTCCTTGGACTCCACGTTGGATGACCTCAAGCAACAGGTCATGACCTTGCCCACTATTGCTGAACTTGGGGTGCCAATGGTGGAATTTTTGAGGGTCAGAGTCATAGAAGATGGACCGCTAACTACAGTGCTTAAGGGACCATCTCAAACATTGAGGTAAAATTAATAATTCTGTGTAGTTCTTCCTGATTGTACGTATAATTAATCCTCGTTATCTCGAACTCGATGGGACTGAGAAAAAACTTTGAGATATCTGAGGATTCGAGATATCAGGTGTACAATACTTAAATAATAAGTGGTTAGGACCACCAAATTACTTTGACATGGTATTTGAGATGTCAGTGGTCGAGATATCAAAGTTCCACTATACTTGTATCTGGAGAGACTGAATGTGACATATTGCTCATCATAACTTCATTAAAAGTGAATTTTAGCTTAAACTGATTTAATCTGTGATGATTTGCTTGCATATTGCACATGTGGTGTAAAACTTTCTGAGGACTGCTTTGAGGCAGTTAATGAGAGACATTATGTGCAGTGGGCCATCTGAGGTGTTCAGTCCAAAATTTAACATGGGACTGTCTCACAATTCTTATGGAATCTTTTCTCTTTAAATCCATATCTACGAAGTTTCTCTTGGATTTTAAATACAAATTTTTTGCATTGTAGAAAACTGCGATTACAGTCTTGCAGGAAATTAGGTGTCCAGGTTCTGCCTCAAGAAGAAGATCTAACGTAAGACATCACTAGCGGTATATGCTATTAGCCCTTTCATGATAACTGCAGTCCTACTCTTTTGCAGGTCAAATTAATAATGTTTGGCAAAGTTTTTGCGGACAGATAATCAAATAACATATTCATGTACAGTATTAACTCATTCAGCCCCAGCCACTCTTATCTACACAGTGCCTCAGCATCTGTTATCAGCATGTGCCCCAGAGAGATTTCAGGAGGATGCTTAGCGCTTGATATAAACAAACACATGCTTTGTTTACCTTTGTATCTCTTAAATTATTCCACTTATATCAATAAAATTTTTACACAACAAAGAAAACAAAATTCTGAATTCATCAGTATAATTTTCTTCACAAATAATGGAATATTTTTAGTCATCCACCATTGTGTTTGTAATGCCACGCTTGAAAGTAACACTATACTTTCATTTTCCATTGTTTCCTTTATTTTATGAATATTTATAAGGTAAAAGTTAAGAAAGACTTGTTAGAACCTTTCTGATTGGATAAATCACAACATTTCTGGCTGAAATCCAATTATTCAGCCAATCAGAGGCCTTTTTCTAAACCCTATGTTGGCTTCGCCTCCAAGCGGGATCGGCCATTCATAACATTGTAAACAACACTACTGTAGTCGGTATCGGCCAATAGCGGTATGATAAATACCCCGCCTGTAGTAGGGATCGGGGCTGAATGAGTTAAACAATTGATTTTACGTCATATTTAACCAAACATTATCATTTTGCCCTGCAAAAGAGCTGTACCGCAGTTATTTGGAATCTGTCTGTTCTATTGATTTCCTTAGATTTTGAGACTTCTAGTAAAGTGTATACTGGGTACATAAAGATAGATTATAAATCAGTGAAAAAATTATCATGAAATATGAAAATAACCATCAGTGATCATGCTCAAAATTCATTTAAAAAATAAAATAAGAGCAGAGCCTACATGGACCTCTGAAAATAGAGATGGGATCAGGTGACATGGGGGATTAAACATCCCCTATCAACTGGTCACACTTGTTGTGTACTCAGGACTTGTAATGATCAGGTAAACAGAAAAATACATAGACAATTCAGTGTGAAAATAATGGGCCAGACTTAACAATTTTTATGAAAGACCTCGGTCAACATTTAATGACAAGATTGTATTTGCAATCAAAGTCATTGTACAATGTATCGACCATACAAAGATTAAAAATAATGTGACAATATATACATGTAAATAGACAGAATTTTGGAGAAATTTATACAATGTTAATATTTATACATCCATTTTCAGTGCCAACCACATTGTATTAGAAATTCGACAGAGAATTCCGGAGACAAAAACCTATGCTGCTGGACAGGAAGTAGTGTGGAATGTATCCCAGGGAGCCACAGCACACAGTCTGAAGCAGACGATAGCTGACATTCTCCTCATTCCTGTGGAGCACATCCTAGTCGCCAAACATTTTCCTAAGAAGTATGAATGGCTGATCATCAAGGAGCACCAGAAGGTGAAGCTTGCTAAACTTAAGTCCTTTGAAAAGAACCCAAGACAAAATGAACTTCTATTTCAAGCACTTGCCTGTACTTACATGGATATTGTAGCTATCATATTTTCAAACTGTCAGACTTTTTAGTTTTTATTTGAATGTTCCAGCTTAGAACAATTTAAAAAAATAGTCAGACGGCTTAGATCACAAGTGGCCATATTGCTCATTTGATGGGGCAGCTGACTTGTGATTCAGGGGGCCCCGGTTCAAATCCTGGTCTTGTCCATCCCATTTTTCCCCCTTTCTTGTTAGGTCACCTGAGTCACTCAGGTGACCTATTGCTATCTGTTTTCGTCTGTCGTCGTGCGGGTGTGCGTCGTGCGTAAACTTTTCACATTTTCGACTTCTTCTCAAGAACTACTGGGCCAATTTCCACCAAACTTGCCACAAACTATCCTTGGGTAAAGATGATTCAAGTTTGTTCAAATGAAGGGCCACGCCTTCTTCCAAGGGGAGATAATTATAATAAGAATTAGTGAAAAATTAATGGTATCTTTTAAAAATCTTCAAGAACCACTGGACCAGGTAAGATAAAACTTATATGGAAACATCATCAGGTAGTGTAGACTTAAGTTTGTTCAAATCATGACCCCCAGGGGTAGGGTGGGGCCACAGTGGACGATCAAAGTTTTACATAGAGATATATAGGAAAAGTCTTTAAAAATCTTCTTCTCAGGAACAGCTAAGCCCTGATTGGTCATATTTATATGGAAGCATCCTCAGGTAGTGTAGATTCAAGTTTGTTCAAATCATGACCCCCGGGGGTAGTGTGGGGCCACAATGGACGATCAAAGTTTTACATAGAGATATATAGGAAAAATCTTTAAAAATCTTCTTCTCAGGAACAGCTAAGCCCTGCTTGGTCAAATTTATATGGAAGCATCTTCAGGTAGTGTAGATTCAAATTTGTTCAAATCCTGACCCCCGGGGGTAGGGCGAGGCCACAATGGATCGTCAAAGTTTACATAGAAATATATTGGAAAAATCTTTAAAAATCTTCTTCTCAGGAACAGCAAAGTCGTGATGAGTCATATTTATATGGAAGCATCCTCAGGTAGTGTAGTTTCAAGTTTGTTAAAATCATGACCCCTGGGGGTAGTGTGGGGCCACAATGGGGGATCAAAGTTTTACATAGGAATATATAGAAAAAAATCTTTAAAAATCTTCTTCTCAAGAACAACAAAGCCACAATTAGTCATATTGATATGGAATCATCCTCAGGTTGTGCAGATTCAATTTTGTTCAAATCATGACCCCCGGGGGTAGGGTGAGGCCACAATGGGGAATCAAAGTTTTACATAGAAATATATTGGAAAAATCTTTAAAAATCAAGAACAGCAAAATCGTGATGAGTCATATTTATATGGAAGCATCCTCAGGTAGTGTAGATTCAGTTTGTTCAAATCCTGACCCCCGGGTAGGGCGGGGACACAATGGAGGATCAAAGTCTTGCATAGGAATATATAGGAAAATTTCTTCTCAAGAACTGCAAAGCCATGATTAGTCATTTTGACATGATCAAAGTTTTACATAGAAATACATAGAAGAAATCTATAAAAATTTTGTTCTCCAGAACCACTGGGCCAAGAAAAAGGAAACTTATCTGGAAACATCATCAGGTAGTGTAGATTCAAGTTTGTTCAAATCATGACCCCCATGGGTAGGGCAGGGCCACAATGGATGATCAAAGTTTTACATGGGAATAGATTGGAAAAATCTTCTTCTCCAGAACCACTGGGCTAAGAAAGATGAAATGTGGAAACATCTTCAGGTAGTGTAGATTCAAGTTTGTTAAAACCATGATCCCCAGGGGTAGGGTGGGCCACAATGGACAATGAAAGTTTTACATTGGAATATGTAGGAAAAATCTGGAAAAAATTCTTTTCTCAAGAACAGCAAAGCCATGATTGGTTATATTTACATGGAAACATCAAGTAGTATAGATTCAAGTTTGTTCAAATCATGACTCTGGACTGTGGGGATAGGGTGGGGCCACAATGGATGATCAAAGATTTACAAAAGCTCCCTCTATCAGTTTATTTTATACTCTATGGATCTTCTACGGATTGTTGTTTTATACTCAGGTGACCGTTAAGGCCCTTGGGCCTCTTGTTTTATTTTATGCCATGACTATGCCCTAGAATCAATAAGTGAAAGACCTGTCAGTGAAGAGTCTGGGTTGATCTTTGGGGGCGAAGACCTTTAAGGAGTAAGAAATGTGGCGGTCAGATGGGATCAATTGCTGGTGGTCAGATAGCTCGATAGAGCACCTAATTATTGATTCAGGGCATGGGTTGGAACCTAGTCTAGTCTGTTGCATTTTTTTCCCTTTCCTTAAATTCCCTGAAGCAGCATATACATGTGTGAACAATTCCATTATGTGCATAATACATTTTTTTTTAAGTGCACAGACCCATCAAGAAGATCTGTTGGGTTTCACAAGTTTTACATTCTTTTTTTTAGAAATCTCCTGGGAAAGGAGGGAGGAAAAAGACTCCACAAAAATCTAACTTAAGGCAGCCCCCTTATCACATCCAGGATGGGGATGTTATAGGGGCGAAGGTAAGCTTCTATAAATAACATATTTCTATTCAAATAGAAAAGATATGAGCTTAAATTTTCCTTGTTTTTAACATTGTATAGAAGTTTGTTGATTAGTGATTATGTAATTTAAGAGATGGAAAAGAGGAATTTGGGGTTTAAAATCTTGCACTTTATAGTAAATTTTGAGTATTTAAGAAGTGTTTTATAAAACCCTCTTAAACATTTTGAATGAATTACAGTCAATCAAAACATATTTCCATCCAGAAAAGTACAAATTTCAATTCTTTAAACTCAAGAAAGACAAATAGACCTGTTCATGTTACATAACATTGTTAAGAAAAGAATCTCTCTGTACATATATTTTTATACTATAATGCAATACAAATACATGTGTACACAGAGATTGTTTCTTTTCTTTTCTTGCCACAGAATTTACAATTTGACCCACTTCAACCTGAAGATTTTTGTACCGAGGAGGACGAACGAGGACAAGAGGAGCTACAGAGGATTGCTGAGGACAAAAAGAAAGAGTGAGTACCTTTATTGAAATATGATGAAGATACTGTAAGTACATGTACAGTAAAATTTGCTTATAGCAAAGTCATGAGGGTCTGCGAATTTACTTGACTATATCCATAATTCCTTAAATATCCATATACTGGTAATTATCCATTTTGTTAAGGATCTATGGCGAATTTGCATTACATGTATATACTGTATATGCTTTCCTTCAAATATGACTACCAAATATATTCTGGGAAGTATTATAAACAAAACTTACCTTGGAGTACTTAAAGTTTTCAGATAAATTGAACTTCAAATACATGTACTTGCAAAATAATAATGTCAGTTCAATGTTTTCAATTTTGAGATCTTCGAAAATTCATTATGAAAAATGTAAATTTCATTAGTTTTAACCTCTATGGGACAGAAAATCAGTTTGCTATATCCATAAATTCACTACATCAGAGTTCCTTATCACTGAAAGATTTTACAAAATATTGTTAAGAATTTGCTTGGGATCCCAAAAAACTAAGCTATATCCATAAAATTGCTATACCTGTGTTCATACTGAAGTTTTACTGTACATGGATATTTTCTAAAGTGATTTATAAGCACAGTTTACTACAGATACAAGTAATATGCTTTATATGCAAGTTAAGCACTCCCAGTATCATGTAATCAAATCTCTGAATATTTGGCTGTAAGAAGCAAAGAAAAAATGTTGATGTATTGTGTACATTCTGTGTTTTTAAACCTTTACAGGAGAGAAGACAAGAAGAACCGAAAAACAGGCGACTTTGATTTTAGCGAAAAGAAAAAACGCCCAGAGGCCACGCTTAGTATAAAAGTGGATGACTTTACGTGACAGAGACTATAGCTAGTTTTATTTTCATGTTGACGGTTATTCATAAGACTGTTTTAGCACTGATGTTATGTATAATTTTAATGTTGAAAGCAAAAATATTGCTGTAAGTTAGTGAATCCAGGGGGCTTTCATATCAGATGATACATGTGTATCTTTAAGTCAGTATTGAAATGTGATTAAAAATAAGATTTTGAAAATTCTATATAGGCTTTTTGCTTTTGATTTTGAAAAAAGGAGATACAATCAGAAAAGAACTGTGTAAGTGATAGAGATCTTGGTAATATTTAGTAAAGGTGCCAGACTTGTCAATGTAACATTGAACTTGATGCCATTTTGCAAATTGCAAAATGTGCTACAATGCATTATAAACTAGATGCAAGAAATGGTATTGCCAGTCAACTTCTGAAAGCAAAATGTACTGGGGATCTGTGTAACTATATTATTTATTGTTCTGGTAAAGCACAATCATTATGTTTATGAACAACTTGCCTTTCTATAGCTCAACAGAGTCAAGATAAGCTTATACTCTACTCATAGCAATAGCATTCCAGTTATATGACAATTCTCATGTACTATAAGCCCTACCAGGATTAAACTTGCATGGGTGATGCATCTAAGGATGCACACTACTAGACATGTTTTGGTTGCTGGAAATGGTATATAGTTATATAGTTACTTTTCTGGATTGGTGACAAAGTTTTTGAAGAAGATGCATCCCTAGGTAACTAAAAGTGACCACCAAACTTGCAAAAAATAAATAGATGCACACTACCAGACATGCTTTGGATGCTGCAACTGACCTACAGTTTTAGGATGAGTGAAAGTTTTTAGAGCAGGTCCAGTACAAATCTAGTCCAGACCAAAGCTGCATGGATGTTGCATTTTAGGAAACAAACTATCAGAACATTCATTTGATGCCAGACTGCCTCATTTATATAACATTAGTCAAGGTGAGCTTTGTAATCCATAATTACCAATGATTCACTATGAGTAGTTTCATATGTTGCCTATAGTTTTCTCCCTTACCAATACATATACCTATGACTGATGCATGCTTGAGCTTATGAAACAATATGTCATCACCAACAAAGGTCAATGCCTTTTAACATCAAGATCAAAGATTGACCAAGAAAAGTATTCAAAACATACCTTCTTTCCTGGTTTATCAATGTGTAAATTTTGAGATTTGTAAGAATAAATCATCCTAAGCAGAGGCAGCCACACAAGATGTACAGGTACATAGATTTACTGATACAGATGGACATTGTTCAGTTTTGCTTCTAAACCCATCAAAAAGCAGCAGCTTGAGTTTTTCTAATCACATTTTGTCCATTCATCATCTGAAGACTTTTCATATTTTCAATTTCTCATGAGCTACTGCCCAGGGTTAATTTCAATCAAACTTTCTAAAAGCACCATCCAGTGAATGGGATTCAAGTTAACCATGCCCTCTTTTAAGGAGATAATTAAGAATGAGTGAAAATTCAATGGCATCTTTTAAAAATCCTCTTGTCAAGAACCACTGGGCCAGAATCATTACAGTGTAGAATTGTTCAAATCATGAACCCCCCCCCCCCCCCCCCCAATGGGAAGGGGGAAGGGGGCCACAATAAGGGATCAAAGTTTTACTAGCTATGATTAGTCATATTAATATGGAAGTATCCTCAGGTAGTGTAGATTCAAATTTGTTCAAATCATGGCCCCTGGAGGTAGGATGGGGCACCAATAGGGGATCAGTTTTACATTGGAATATAAAGGAAAAAATATTATTAAAAAATCTTCCTCTCAAGTATAGTTGGACCATGATTAGTGATATGAATATGCAAGCTTTCTCAGGTATCCCAGATTCTTATTTATTCAAACCTGGCCCCAAGGGGATAGGGTGGGGCCACAATAGGGGTCAAAGTGTGACATAGGAATATTTAGGAAAAAATCTTTCTTTCATGAACAATAGGGCCATGATTAGTGATATAAATATATGCAAACATTGTTAGGTGGTAAAGATTCAAGTTTTTGATCCCTGGGGGAAGGGTGAGGCCACAATGGAGAACTGAAGAAAAAATGTTGAAAAGAATAACATTATCATGATTAGTCATATTAATATGCAAGCATCCCCATGTAGTGCAGATTCAAGTTTGTTCAAATAATGGTCTTTGGGGCTAGGGTGGGTTATGAAAAAAAGCAAGGTCAAGGTGACTTGTGGCCCATGGGCCTTGTGTAATAAATTGTGTCACAAGTAACTCATGATGCATTACTAATATTTACTGAACCATGAATAATAAAAATTGATGGTATTTTTAACTTTATTTTTTGATACATTTCTACAATTTCATTGTACATACTATGTAAAATTAAAAGTTGTATTGGCTTTAAAAACTTGATCTCTTGAAACAATTTTTTTTTTATTTATGCATAAACTTGACACTGTATACTTTCATTTTCCGGCTGGTTGATCGTGTACATAGTCGATATTGTTGATATCTCTTTCTCTCACTGTGATTCTTTCTCAGAATTCCTCACATGGATTCACAGGAGGAATATGGATTCACAGGAGGAATATGATCAATAGTTTATGAATAAAGAAAATATCCAATGTGTGAAACTATAGTGTCACCAGGCAAGATGTGGATTTTTCTTGTACACTTCATAATCCTCCAGTCTGAAGAATGATATCTCTGTTTCATTATCTGGAATGTGAAGAAAATGATCTTTAATTACCAATATACACTGATTAATTAGTGACAAAATAGTGTAGTAATTATCATGTTGTTCAAAAATATTCTTTAAGGACTATTTTATAGGCTACATGACTTTCTACAGATGTTCAATACATGTAAAATCTCCATACCCAGAATACATTAAACTTAATTATCTTTCATTTTGCAAAAATACACACTTATCAATAAAGATATATGACTTCAAAGAAAACTCTGCTTTGGATCCATAACAAACAATGAAGTGAAAATTGATGTTCATTTATTCATTTAAAAAAATATCTGGTCAACTTTTGAATTTTAGAGAAATGTCACACCTACCTACACCACTGTCTCTCAGTGTACAGGCATCTTTCAGAATCAGACCTTCGTCATTCTCCAAGTTAATTACTGGGTCATTACTCTGTAAAGTCAAGTAAAAAATGAGCAAAACACTAATACAGCATTGCAATGTAGCATAGATATTTTGATAATGCATATCACTGCTTAGTTAGCATTAACTATGCAGAAACTTTTCATTAGATTAGTACATATATTTGTTTAGACACATGTTTCAACATTCTACTTTGATTTTAAAGGATGTATTAAAATCTTAGTCTAATTAATGATTAGTCATATAACCAAAAAGATGTTATTTTGATCAACAAATGAATCATACTGACTCAAACATATTGACAATGTTGCTGCACCATGCTTATTCAGAAGGAAATCCTGTCACTAAAACTTAACTAACCTTTGACCCATGAGGCTTGTGAGATATCTTCAGTGTGTCTGTAATAGAAAATATTTTTTATTATTGCACACCGATTGTGTGTATCATTGCACATGATTCTATATATCAATGCAACAAATTAAATAATCATACTGAATTCATGCAAAACATCTCATGAAATTCCTCAATCCTGTTCCATGATTACACAAATAAATACTTTTTTTTTACCCTTTTTTCCCAAAAATATATTTTACAGTACATGTAGATCCTTACCAAAGGAATACTTCTTAAATGGAGGAGGCAGGCCCTGTCTTGTAACAATATCTAAAAAAAAAAAAAAAAAAAAAACAAGATGTGTTTGTGAAACACTGATGCCCCCATATGGCAGCTTAAGGCGAAGGTTAAAGTCTCTCAATTGCAGGTCAAACTCCAAAGTTAAGGTCAAAAGATTAAAAATGTTGTTACCCAAAGAAAGGACTTGTGTCAATGGATATACTTGGTAAATATGAAAGCCCAAGCACCAACCATTCAAAAGTTATGGTCTAGGTTAATGTTTCCTAAAAGTAGGTCAAACTCCAAGTTCAAGGTCAAAGAATCAAAATTAAGTACCAAGGGGAAGACCTTGTCAAAAGAAATACACGCAAAATATAAAAGCCCTAGCACTGACTGTTCAAAAGTTATAGCAAAAGTTTAAGTTTTCTAAAGAAAGTCAAACTCCAAGGTCAAGGTCAAAAGGTAAACATTGGTGGTACCCAAAGGAAGGTCTTTTCACAATGAATACAATGTAAATCTGTGAAATTTGAAAGCCCTAGTGCTAACTGTTCAAAAGTTATGGCCAAAGTTAAAGTTTTTTAAAAGTGGGTCAAACAATAAGGTCAAAATCATAAAGTTAAAAAATACACGCAAAATATAAAAGCCCTAGCACTGACTGTTCAAAAGTTATAGCAAAAGTTTAAGTTTTTCTAAAGAAAGTCAAACTCCAAGGTCAAGGTCAAAAGGTAAACATTGGTGGTACCCAAAGGAAGGTCTTTTCACAATGAATACAATGTAAATCTGTGAAATTTGAAAGCCCTAGTGCTAACTGTTCAAAAGTTACGGCCAAAGTTAAAGTTTTTTAAGAGTGGGTAAAACAATAAGGTCAAAATCATAAAGTCAAAAAATATTTACACCCATGGAAAGGTCTTGTCACGATGAATACACATGTGAAGTATGAAATCCCTAGAACCAACTGTTCAAAAGTTTTGGCCAAGGTTAAAGTCGGGTAAATTTTTGCAAAAGTGGGTCTAACTCCAAGGTCAAGGACAAGAGATCAAATATGTTAGTACCCAAAGGAAGGTCTTTTCACAAGGAATACACATGTGAAATATGAAAGCCATAGCTCCAACCAATCAAAAGTTATGGGCAAGGTTAAAGTTTTTGCAGACAAATAGAGAGAGAGCTAGACGGACAGGGCAAAACCTATATATCCCTGATTCTTTGATTACGGGGGCATAAAAAGTAGCAAATGAACATTTTCTTTAGTTATCATGGTAATTCTCGAGTTGACAGAAAAAAAAACACTTCTCTGTCAGTGTGTGTGTAATCTTTCACATTTTCTACCAAGCTTTCTCAACGAAATGCTAAAATACTATTTAAATCAGATAAAATGCACAAGTGAAGGCTTATCTCCCCTTAAATATGAATTACAGATGGGCTATAAAACAGTATTGTAACTGGAGGACTCTGAAAATTTGTACTAAGCCAGGATTTTGGACACTGGCTTCCTGGATGTCTATACAGGTGCTTGTCCAACCACCATTCAATTACTGGGCATTACTGGTGACAAAACCTGCATCCCCCCACCCATTCAACCCCAATGTCTTTATAAACCCAGGCTCATCCACGACAATATTTTGCACTTGTCTTCTCATGAACATATAACATCAAATGTAACAGGGAGAAATGTGATGGATAACACATACCCCTCCTGAACTTTAAAACAGGTGCTCTAAAAAGCAATCATGTCATCAGCAGCAACCAACCCATAGAGACCACATGCACTTCCACTGGGCCTTGTCATGAACCACTAGTGGACAGGTTATTTGGAGTAAGGGTGAAACGTTTACTGAATTTTGTAAACGTTTAAACGAACAACAGTAAACGAAATGGTACCGTTTAAACAGGAGAATATTTTGAGTTGAATTTTTATGGTCACTTACTCATGAACCACTAATTTAAAACACCATTCTTTCACTATAATGTAAGTATGAGTTGTTATAACTATTTGTTGGATTTTATGACGAAAGAGTATGAAGCGCATTAAACCCATTCTCTTTCTACACCGTCACCCAATATTGCATTAATAGTTAGTTTGGCAACATACCGGAGGTAGAAAAAGCATTGTAAAATTAAACTTGCGAAGATGGATCTTCTAATCCTGAATTAAGTAGACCATGATCTGCTCACTGTATTGAACCATTTTTCAAAGACATGCGAAAACGTATTATATATATTTAATCAGTTTAATAAAGTTTTATACTTGGGAAAATAAAATAAAATCATAATACATAGCTAGTATTAGCTACTCGGAAATCGTAATTAAATATGTTATGCAGTATTTGTTTTAGATAGTTTTGTTTAATGACATGTTTCCAGTATCGATTAAAATGTTTGTTCAACTTTGTATTGAACAAAGACTGTGTTTACTTTGGTAATTATATAATAAAACAATTTGTTTGTATTAAACTTAACTTCTGATAGACATTATTATGATCTTCGTGTAAACATTTACTAAATTCGTAAACGTTTAGAGCATTTAATCGAAACGTCGCCATTTACACATGTAATCGTTTCGCCCTTAATTTGGAGTTCCACCATGTTACAATAATAAGGCCCATATCATGCTCCTTAGCACAAAATCTGTTGCTCACTGGTCTGAAAACCAAACAAGAGGCCCATGGGCCACATCGCTCACCTGAGCACATTGGCTAAGCAAAAGCACAAATCGGTTCAGCATTGAAAAGATTACCGAGGGTGGAGTGGGGGAGAAGGGGTGGGGTGGTGGTGGTGGTGGTGGGGGGGGGGGGGGAGTTGTATTTTAAACTACCTGACGATGCTTCCATGCCAACATAACAAATGGCTTTGTTGTACTTGAGAAGATTTTAACAACATTTTCCCATATATTCCTTTTTAAAAATTTGATCCCCCATTGTGGCTCCTCCCTATCCCAGGCATCATCATTTGAACAAACTTAAATCTACACTACCTGAGGATGCTTCCATATCAAAATGACTAATCATGGCTTTGCAGTTCTTCATCAGAAGAAATTTTCCTATATATTTCTATGTAAAACTTTGATCCTCCATTGTGGCCCCACCCTACCCCCGGGGGTCATGATTTGAACAAACTTGAATCTACACTACCTGGGAATGCTTCCATATAAATATGATCAATCAGGGCTTTGCTGTTCCTGAGAAGATTTTAAAAATTTTTCCTATATATTTCTATGTAAAACTTTAATCCTCCATTGTGGCCCCACCATACACCCGGGGGTCATGATTTGAACAAATTTGAATCTGCACTACCTGAGGATGCTTCCATATAAATATGACTCATCATGGCTTTGCTGTTCTTGAGAAGAAGATTTTAAAAAAATTTTCCTATATATTTCTATGTAAAACTTTGATCCTCCATTATGGCCCCACCATACCCCCGGGAGTCATGATTTGAACAAACTTGAATCTACACTACCTCAGGATGCTTCCATAAAAATATGACCAATCAGGTCTTTACTGTTCCTGAGAAGAAGATTTTTAAAGATTTTCCTTTCTATTTCTAAGTAAAACTTTGATCCTCCATTGTGGCCCCGCCCTATCCCCGGGGGTCATGATTTGAACAAACTTGAATCTACACTACCTGAGGATGTTTCCATATAAATATGACTCATCATGGCTCTACTGTTCTTGAGAAGAAGATTTTTAAAGATTTTTCATAAATATTTCTATGTAAAACTTTGATCCTCCATTGTGTCCCCGTCCAACCCCCGGGGGTCATGATTTGAACAAATTTGAATCTACACTACCTGAGGATGCTTCCATATAAATATAACTCATCATGGCTTTGCTGTTCTTGAGAAGAAGATTTTAAAAAAATTTTCCTATATATTTCTATGTAAAACTTTGATCCTCCATTGTGGCCCCACCCTACCCGGGGGGTCATGATTTAAATAAATTTGAATCTACACTACCTGAGAATGCTTCCATATAAATATGACCAATCAGGTCTTTACTGTTCCTGAGAAGAAGATTTTTAAAGATTTTTCCTATATATTTCTATGTAAAACTTTGATCCTCCATTGTGGCCCTGCCCTACCCCTGGGGGTCATGATTTGAACAAACTTAAATCTACACTACCTGAGGATGCTTCCACATGAGTTTCATCTTGCCTGGCCCTGTGGTTCTTGAGAAGAAGATTTTTAAAAGATGCTATTAATTTTTCACGAATTCTTTATTATCTCCCCTTGAAAGAGGGCTTGGCCCTTCATTTGAACAAACTTGAATCCCCTTCACCCAAGGATACTTCGTGGCAAATTTGGTTGAAATTGGCCCAGTGGTTCTTGAGAAGAAGTCGAAAATGTTAAAAGTTTACAGACAGACAGACAGCAAGACAGACGGACAGACAGACAGATGGACAGACAGATGGACACCGGACAAAAAGTGATCAGAAAAGCTCACTTGAGCCTTCGGCTCAGGTGAGCTAAAAAAAAAAAAAAAAGTATGGGATGAACCCAGAGACCATCCCAATTTTTTTCAGACCAGCAAGCTACAGATCTGTAGCTAGTCATGTCCATTCCCTTACTGTAAACCAACCATTATTAGTGACTTATAATTATCATTTATCAGTCATCCTTATAGTACAGGTATCTGGAGTCCCAGCGGCATGTTGACTTGTGCACATGGGACATTAATTTTGTTGACAGGACCCCGATGTTAATATTGTAGCGATATTTGTCAATTTTAAAATTCAACACCCATTTAAAATGAATTTTTGTGACAGCTATAATAAACATTTAACATAAATATTGAATTTCAAATGATATATAATCGCGAATTAAAAGTCGCGAAAGTCGTGAATATTTCTAGAACGCGAATAGAAGTTGATTTACAGCATCTAAATTTTACCCCAATCACCTGCACACGTCTTGCTAACTGTTAATTCCTGTAAATTGTTATCAAAACCAATATATTTTACAAGACTTAACCTCTGTTATCATCATGTTTGACAATAAAAGGGATTAATTATCCCTGACAATCTGGACCAGGGTGGTTGATACTGGAACTCTTAAACCAGTTCCACATTCAACGTGTTTATGGAGTTGTCAATCGAAATAGATTGGAAAAAATACCGTTTCTTATGAAGTCTTTGAATTCTTTAACACTCTGTGATAAATCCACTTCGTGATAAACCACGTGTTTTAGGTTTCGATGTTCAAAAGATCGGATTAAGCGCACTGTGACAGTCGCCATTTACCACATGTTTACAGTAAGCGCTCTGAAGACTCAGACATTCAAGCGCATGGTAAACTGGATCGTCACAAATTGTGATGAAATATCGGGGCTGTAGATCTACTTGTGATTGCCCAACAAATCATCAAATATTTGCAACGGAAATTAGAGTGTGCGTCTTTGACTATAACAGACAGTTCAACACAGCGTAGCTCAGGTATATATTTCCGAATTTCCTCGGATGTAATACGTAAGCATCATTGCATTCACCATGTTTACAGAATAGACAAGTTTGCGTATTCAGCAATTTTGTTTACCATGTTTACCTGTGACAAAAAATAGTATTACAATGAATATACTCATTAGAAAGTGGTTTAATTATGTATCAGATATAGACTGTTCCATTGATTGGTCCGTAAGGCTTAACTTTCAATTTATGTAGTTGCAAATTTAGTTAGTAGTTAAATTTCTTGCCATATATACTGATAGAGATGTAAGTTAAGTTCACAAAGTTCAATGAAGGTCAACTCTGAGAAGTTATAATGTAACTATAATGAGGCAAATTTTTTAAGGGGGTGGGGCAAATTATTTATGCCTTTCATTTTAATGATCCCCACATCATAGTCAGTATTAGGCAAGTGAGAATAAATGATTTTGAAATACATGTACTCAGAAAATTGTAAACCAAAAAAATCAAATAATCACTACAATGGCTAATTTTATTCACTTTACTGTATGAGCCAGGCTTGTACATAATAGCTGCAGAACTGTAGTTCTCTTGATGAGAAAATTTAGACAAACCAGAGAGTTACATATCCAAACATTCTAAAACCTTTCAAATTTATGGTGCTGCTTTTTCTCAACCAGAGAGCTACAGTTCTGCAGCTAGGCTTGTAATAGCCATTAAAATTGCTTTGGGTCAAACTTACACAGAGCAAAAATCAAGTATACCTTGATAATGTGTATTTGTTTCAAGGAATATATAAATGAAGAATTTTTTTTTTCTCTTGCAGAAAAATCATTTGCAGAGTTTCACAGTGCTTTGTAATGTCTTACTATTATAATAATCCTTCAGTCAACCAGCAAGGCTATGGGGAGTTTGACCCTCAGAATATACCATATCCTCATCCAGTGAACATCCCTCCCCCTCCAGTCCTGAACCCTGCTTTGTTCCCTCCTCCCCCAGGACAGTTTTATGTTCCAAATTTAAGCACGAACAACTTTCAAACACAGTATTATGGGGATCAAGCTGTACAAAGACAAATCTCTCAATCTGATAGCAACCCTCAGACTTTAGGACAAACTTCAGGATATAACAATATTTATCACAACAGCCAATCAAAGCAAGACAGAAGACATCAGAATCCAAACAGTGCTAGAGCGTATCGACCTCAGTCTGGTAGGGGTCAAGGTTACAGAGGGGGTCACAATCAAGGTCATAGGGGAAATTATAGTCAAGGCTACAGGGAAGGCCAAATTTCTGGATATGAATGGGAGAATGGTCAGGGATATGAAAGAGGTCAAGGATCAAGAAGAGATCAGAGGTATGAGAAATTTCAAGGTAATAGGTATGAGAGAGGTCAAAAGTCTGAAAAATATGGATCAGTTCAAGGGAGAGACCAACCTAATAAACAAAGCAAGGAGGAAAGTGTTAAAGTAAAAGACAATGCAGATAAAGAAAATGAAAAACAAAATGAGAATGAAATGGCATGTATAGGAGGATTAAGTAATAGTGAGAGGACAGAAATGGGTGAAAAATTATACCAGGAAAACTCTAGTAATGATCAGAATTCTGAAGAAGAAAAACCAGATGTAAGGGAAAAGAAGACGAAAACTTACAAGTCTGATCAGGAATTTTTTGAAAAGAATTTTGCAGCATTTAGTAACAAAGGAGCCATGAATTCAAAGTCTGGTATGAAGAATGAAAGGAAAGGGCAGCAAGGCAGTAAGGGTGCAGAGAGACCTAAAAGTGGACATCAGAGGCAGGAGAAATATCAAAACCAGTATGGGGAATATAGGCAAAATCCGAGAGAAAATAAGCATAATTCTGAATATAGGGGGAATAAGTATGATTCAAAAGAAGATTGGCATAGGGAAGACGTCAGGGAAAATAGACAAAGTCAAAAGAAGAGGGAAAATCGTCAGGACCAAAGACATAGTCCCAGAGATTATCCTAGTCAGTATGAAAGTAGTAAGAGGCATGATCGCTATGACAGTGATAAAAATAGAACATCTGCTAGGTCAAGGAAAGAAACTAAGGATTGGGAGACTGGATATCCAGATAAGGAAAATAATACTAGTGAAAGAAAAACTGCTGCCAAGACTACCGGTAACAAGACTGAAAGTTTAATATCTCGGCGTGATGCTGAAGCTAAATTTGGTGATGTAGAAGAGGCTAGGAATCATAAAGATTCAGAATCTGTGAGTGAGTATGGTGATCAGGACTCAGGGAAACAGACATCTCAGGATAATATAAGTGCTAATGAAAAGGAGAGGAAAAACACATCTAGTTATTACAGATCAACAGGAAATCAAAGCCAGCAGCCATATTATAAAGGTCAGAAAAAGCCAAGAGTTTTCCGAACTTCATCAGGAAAAGTGGATGAAAGTCAAAGAGGTAGATTCTTCTTATTAAATCATAGATTTTTTTAGCTCACTTGAGTGAAAGGCCAAATATTTGTGGCTGTCACTGTCAAATTTTCTAAGAATTATTTCTGCTTGAATGCATAAATGATTGGAAGTATTCTGGGTACATTTCTGTATCTCTTATGAATATTCTCTTTATCTGGCAGCCCTGTTGATTGAACAGCTGACAATGGGGACTTATGAGTGTATGGTGTGCTGTGAGACAATTCGAGGACAGAATGCCGTATGGAGCTGTATTGGGTGTTTCCATGTCTTTCATCTTCGTTGTATAAAGACCTGGGCAAGGTCTCCTACAGCCAGAGTGGAGGGTAACAACTATTTAATTATTGTAAAGCTTTAACATGATTAACATGTTTAAACATACATGTATCACTTTTTGAAGTAAATTACCCACTAGTAGTCTAGAGTAGAATATTACAATGAATTGTACTAATTATTACCATAATACAGCCAATGAAAAGTTTCTGCTACTCTAGAAGAAGTTTATGAAGAGACAGAAGAGTTGCATTTTATTTAAAGGTCTTGTGTAGCTGTTTCAATTTACCCGGTATTAGTTCTCTTCCTTAGGGGATCTTTTAATGTACACTGTACACAATTCCTTTCAAAGTAAAATAACTGTACTAGACTAACATTAAAAAAAAGAAGAAGGTTACAGATACAATATTTCTATCATTAAGATTTGTAATATAAGGATGTATTGATTGCTTTCTTCCGCAGGGTCAGACAATGGATGGAGATGCCCTGCTTGTCAGAACACAACTGAGAAATTCCCCAACCAGTACAGGTGTTTTTGTGGTAAGGTAGAAATTCTTTCTGTAATTAATGATATCTTCATCTCCCTAAATATGTCAACAAATAAACTCAGCAATACTAGTCTGCTGGAAATTTCTTCAGAGATATTTTTTTTGTCTGTTGCTTACAGGAAAAGTCCGAGATCCTGAGTGGAACAGAATGGAGACTCCACACAGCTGTGGTGAAGTGTGCCGGAAAATCCGCTCAGCCAACTGTAAACACAACTGTAACATGTAGGTCACACAATCTTACCAGACCTATCGCTATGGTTTCCATTTGAGCATTCATTTGATAATTATGTTCTATGAAATTCACAAAAAGGAGTTTTTAGCCAGATGTCTAATTTTTTTGTACATTATTGTGCAAGTCTGTGCCTGAGGCTGACCATGCATATAAAAAGAGTGTTTAAGATAACTAGCAAGGACAAGACATGATGATCAGTACGATTCATTTAATTGTGCTTTAAAAAAATGACAATGCATTAATCAAATTCTGCCTTACTTTCTAAGGGTTATCTGTTATTTTTATATCTCCCCAAAAATAAAGGTAGACTCATTTTTCCCACTGAATTCTTATCAGTATTGTTCTGCTCATATAATTGTATCCAAGGCAAAAAAAAAATCTTTTATCTTTCTAGGTTTCTGGGATATGAGCGTTATCATCAATTCATATGTTGATAGGTTATACAAATCATGAACCACATAATTATGATTTCGACCTTTAACTTTGGTCTTCTTTTCTCATGGGGAGATGTGCCCAGGCCAATTTTTTTTAGGTCACCTGAGTCACTCAGGTGACCTATTGCTATCCGTTTTTGTCTGTCGTCGTGCGTCGTCCGTCAACATTTAAACATTTTCAGCTTCTTCTCTGAAACCGCTCAACCAATTTCAGCCAATTTTGGCATATAGCATCTATGGGTGAAGGGGGACAAAAATTGTGAATTTCATGGTCCCTGCCCCCCTGGGGCCTGAGGGGTGGGGCTAAAACCACCAAAATTAATGCAATCTTTAAAAATCTTCTTCTTTACTCCTGGACATCAAGCAGTCAAACTGTTGACATGATTGTAATAAGCATTGAGCTCTCTACCAAAATTGTGAAATTCATGGCCCCAGGGTCAGGGGTTCTGGTGCTAGGGCGGGGCTATATAGATCATATAGTGAAAGTGCATTATTTCTTTGAAAATCTTCTTCTCTACCCCTGGGTATTATTAAACAAAATTGAATACATATTTATGATAAGCAAGAGTGACTTTACCAAAATTGTGAAATTCATGGCCCCAGGGTCAGGGGTTCTGGTGTTAGGGCGGGGCTATATAAATCATATAGTGAAAGTGCATTATTTCTTTGAAAATCTTCTTCTCTACTCCTGGGTATTATTGAAACAAATTGAATACATAGTTATGATAAGCAAGGGTGACTCTTCCAAAATTGTGAAATTCATGGCCCAGTAATCAGGGGTTCTGGTGCTAGGGCGGGGCTATATAGGTCATATAGTGAAAGTGCATTATTTCTTTGAAAATCTTCTTCTCTACTCCTGGGTATCATTTAAACAAATTGAATACATAGTTATGATAAGCAAGAGTGACTCTACCAAAATTGTGAAATTCATAGCCCCAGGGGCAGGGGTTCTGGTGTTAGGGCGGGGCTATATAAATCATATAGTGAAAGTGCATTATTTCTTTGAAAATCTTCTTCTCTACTCCTCGGTATTATTGAAACAAATTGAATACATAGTTATGATAAGCAAGGGTGACTCTACCAAAATTGTGAAATTCATGGCCCCAGGGTCAAGAGTTCTGGTGCTAGGGTGGGGCTATATAAATCATATAGTGAAAATGCATTAATGCTTTAAAAATCTTCTCTACTCCTGGGTATTATTTAAACAAATTAAATACATAGTTATGATAAGCAAGGATGCCTCTTCCAAAATTGTGAATTTCATGGACCCTGGATCAGGGGTTCTGGTGTTAGGGTGGGGCTCTATTTATTATATAGTGAAAATGCATTAATGCTTTAAAAATCTTCTCTACTCCTGGGTATTATTTAAACAAATTAAGTACATTGTTATGATAAGCAAGGATGCTTCTTCCAAATTATGAAATTCATGGCCCCAGGTACAGGGGTTCTGGTGCTAGGGCGGGGCCATATATATCCTATAGTGAAGGTGAATTATTTCTTTAAAAATCTTCTCTGCGCCTGGGTATTATTTAAACAAACTATTAGTACATTGTTATGATACGCAAGTATGCCCCTTCCAAAATTGTGAATTTCATGGCCCCAGGGTCAAGGGTTCTGGTGAAAAGGGGGGGGGGGGGGGGCTCTATTGATTATATAGTGAAAAAGCAAAATTTCTCTGAAAATATTCTTTTCTGCTTCTGGTTAAAAAGCAAAGAAGCTAAGTGTATAGTTATGATGAGCATGATTACTTCTTCCAGAGTAGTGAATTGCATGACCCCTGGGTCAGATGTGCTGGTGTAAGGGTGGGGCTCTTGATAATGTAGTGAAAATGCATTAATTCTGTTAAATAATCCTGTCTGCTCCTTAGTGTTAATCAGATAAACAAAGTGATTACTTACATGTATGATGAATAAACTTCTGGTCCCAGGGTGAGAGACTCTGGTGTTTCTCGGTGGGGATGGGAGGTGGGGGGGGGGGGGGGCTGGGGGACTCTATTGATAATGTAGTGAATCTGTAGTAAAAACTGCATTATTTCTTTGAAAATCTTCTCTGCACCTGGGCATATCAGAGGCAAAAAGAGTAAAAGTTTTAATAAATATTTTTGAACATCTGGGCCATTTTGTCAAGTGTTCTGGTCCTGGCCAGGGCTCTATTAATTTGTATTCTACTGAGGGGAGTTATTCCCCTTTGCCATTTACTTTTGATAATTAGTCACTGTAAATAATGTACTTGAAAGGTTAATAGAATAAGAGAATTTTGCAAGATTTTTTATTGTATAATACAAAAAGTACTTTCATAGTTTTAATGATCAGGTAGACTTGTAAGTAATAGATAAATAAAAATGAGACAAAAATAACTTGTCTTATTCAATGTTCATCAAAGACCAAGAGAGTCCAATGTAAGAGATTTCAACAAGGAATTAAAATAGTACAGAAGCATTGATAGTTTGTTAATATACTGTATGGTGATAGTGATAAATGGGGAACAGATTAGAACCTAATTTATGAACTGTTAATGAACACTAGACTAATTATTTTGTTGAACCTGATCACCCTATTTTTCTTGCTTTTGGGCAACAAAGCTTCACTTTTCAGTTCATTTTATACTCTATGGATTCTCTTAATTGTTGTATTATACTCAGGTGACCGTTAAGGCCCTTGGGCCTCTTGTTTTTTTCACCAAGGTTATGACAATTGGCAAGTGGATGTACCATCAAGACAATGATTCGTGACCTGCATATGACCTCAATTTGATTAAAATCAACTATTTAGGTCACCTGAGTCACTCAGGTGACCTATTGCTATCTGTTTTCATCCGTCGTCGTCCATCGTGCGTCGTCCATCGTCAGTCGTCCGTCGGTCGTAAACTTTTGAACATTTTCAGCTTCTTCTCTTGAACCACTGAACCAATTTCAACCAATTTTGGCATATAGCATCAATGGGTGAAAGGGTACAAAAATTGTGAATTTCATGGTCCCTGCCCCCCTGGGGCCTGAGGGGTGGGGCTAAAACCATCAAAATTAGTGCTATCTTTAAAAATCTTCTTCTTTACTCCTGGACACCAAGCAGTCAAACTGTTGGCATGATTGTAATAAGCATTGAGCCCTCTACCAAAATTGTGAAATTCATGGCCCCAGGGTCAGGGGTTCTGGTGCTAGGGCGGGGCTAGATAGATCATATAGTGAAAGTGCATTATTTCTTTGAAAATCTTCTTCTCTACTCCTGGGTATTATTAAACAAAATTGAATACATAGTTATGATAAGCAAGGGTGACTCTACCAAAATTGTGAAATTCATAGCCCCAGGGTCAGGGGTTCTGGGCTAGGGTGGGGCTATATAAATCATATAGTGAAAGTGCATTATTTCTTTGAAAATCTTCTTCTCTACTCCTGGGTATTATTTAAACAAATTAAATAGTTACATAGTTATGATAAGCAAGGATGCCTCTTTCAAAATTGTGAAATTCATGGCCCAGGGATCAGGGGTTCTGGTGTTAGGGTGGGGCTATATAGATCCTATAGTGAAGGTGAATTATTTCTTTGAAAATCTTCTTCTCTGCCCCTGGGTATTATTTAAACAAATTAAATACATAGTTATGATAAGCAAGAGTGACTCTACCAAAATTGTGAAATTCATAGCCCCAGGGTCAAGGGTTCTGGTGCTAGGGCGGGGCTATATAGATCATATAGTGAAAGTGCATTATTTCTTTGGAAACATTCTTTTCTGCTCCTGGGTATTATTTAAACAAATTAAATACATAGTTATGATAAGCAAGAGTGACTCTACCAGAATTGTGAAATTCTCGCCCCAGGGTCAGGGGTTCTGGTGCTAGGGTGGAGCTATATAGATCATATAGTGAAAGTGCATTCTTCTTCTCTACTCCTGGGTATTATTTAAACAAGTTAAATACATAGTTATGATAAGCAAGGATGCCTCTTCCAAAATTGTGAAATTCATGGCCCAGTAATCAGGGGTTCTGGTGTTAGGATGGGGCTATATAGATCCTATAGTGAAGGTGAATTATTTCTTTGAAAATCTTCTTCTCTGCCCCTGGGTATTATTTAAACAAATTAAATACATAGTTATGATAAGCAAGAGTGACTCTACCAAAATTGTGAAATTCATAGCCCCAGGGTCAAGGGTTCTGGTGAAAAAAAAGGGGGGGGGGGGGGCTCTGTTGATTATATAGTGAAAAAGCAAAATTTCTTTGAAAATATTCTTTTCTGTTCCTGGTTAAAAAGCAAAGAAGCTAAGTGTATAGTTATGATGAGCAAGAGTGCTTCTTCCAGAGTAGTGAATTGCATGACCCCTGGGTCAGATGTGCTGGTGTAAGGGTGGGGCTCTTGATAATATAGTGAAAATGCATTAATTCTATTAAATAGTCCTGTCTATGCTTAGTGTTAAGCAGATAAACAAAGTGATTACTTATGATGAGCAAACTTCTGGTCCCAGGGTGAGAGGATCTGGTGTTTCTTGCTGGGGGGGGGGGGGGGGGGGCTCTATTGATAATATAGTGAATCTGTAATAAAAATGCATTATTTCTTTTAAAATCTTCTCTGCACCTGGGCATATCAGAGGCAAAAAGAGTAAAAGTTTTAATAAGGAAGAGTATTTTTACCAGATTTTTGAACACCTGGACCATTTGGTCAAGTGTTCTGGTCCTGGCCAGGGCTCTATTAATTTGTATTCTACTGAGAGGAGTTATTCCCCTTTGCCATTTACTTTTGATAATTAATCACTGTAAGTAATGTACTTGAAAGGTTAATGGAATAAGAGAATTATGCAAGAATGTTTATTGTATAATACATAAGGACTTTCATAGTTTTAATGATCAGATATATTTGTAAGTAATAGATAAATAAAAATGAGACAAAAATAACTTGTCTTTTTAAATGTTCATCAAAGACCAAGAGAAGCCAATGTAAGAGATTTTAACAAGGAATTAAAATAGTACAGAAGTACTGATAGTTTGCTATTTAATATACTGTATGGTGATAGTGATAAATGGGGAACAGATTAGAATCTAATTTATGAACTGTTAATGAATACAAGACTAATTATTTTGTTGATCCTGATCCCCTATTTTTCTTGCTTTTGGGCAACAAAGCTTCACTTTTCAGTTCATTTTATACTCTATGGATTCTCTTAATTGTTGTATTATACTCAGGTGACCGTTAAGGCCCTTGGGCCTCTTGTTTGATAATGCTACTGCTTAAGAGGGCTGGGTGGTCGTGCCCATTTTTAGACTATTTTGATCTCCTTTAGAAGAAGAGCTCCATATAAAGATATACAAAAATGATCAAATTTTAAAACTAAAATGAGTGAATTTTTTCTTTGCCAAATGATAGTTGACAGCTTAAGATATCATATTTAAAAAAATAAGTTATATCTGATGGTTAATTTGTTGACTCCCCAGCCTCCTTAATTTGGTTAGTGTATTAGAAAATCTGATTTTAATCAGATTGCAGATGACCTTTGAACTCCTTGTTAAAATTCAAATTATGTACTGGCAAGCAAGTCAGTCTGGAATAGAACTGTATACCTTATAAAATTTGTGTAGGATTATGATATTTAGCATGTGGATATATTATCATGCCCTTGAATTTGACCTCAGAGTCAATCATTTGCTTTATGTTCAGCAGGAAAACTTAACTAGAACTGATGGCCCTTGAATGTCTTCATAAAATGATCTGTAATTTGTCTTTGTGAGCTCTACATGATCTGGAGGTTTGTGATCTCTATGTGATCTGGAGGTTTAAATTAAAATAATTAAAATAGAAGAAATGCATATTAATTTTGTTATTACAGACTGTGCCATCCTGGACCCTGTCCACCATGTAATGCTGTTGTCCCTCGTCACTGTCTGTGTGGAAAAACCAGGTATAAATTTACAGCAGCATATATAAACTGTTCTCACATGTCACTGATTTACAGTAGCAATATATAAACTGTTCTCACATGTCACTGATTTACAGTAGCAATATATAAACTGCTGTCACATGTCACTGATTTACAGTAGCAATATAGGAAGCTCTCACATGTAACTGACTTACAGCAGCAATATAGAAAGCTCTCACATGTAACTGATTTACAGTAGCAATATAGAAACTGCTCTGATTTACAGTAGCAATATAGACATTGCTCTCACATGTCACTGGACAATGCTACCAAAATAAAATCGTGTCTTAATAACCCTTATCATTCAAATGTAGTGGGAAACTTTGTTACTTTTCATGGCATTAAAAATATATAGGTCCAATAGAAAATTGTTAAAAAGGAGCTTTGTATTCACAAGAAATATTAAATGTGAAAAGATAAAAAGTTTCCAACTGTCTTATTTGCAAAGCAGTATTATTGTGATTTTGCAGAAGATGACCCTGTAAATGCACAGAAATAACACTGTTGGGAAAATAACTGATATACTAGAAAAAGCATTTTGGGACAGGGAGGGGGGATTTCAAAAATAAAGCAAAAATGGATTTCTTTATTCAGAAAGCATGAAAGTAGCCATGAGCAATGTCAATGTTGTATTATTTTGGACTTGTTGATTGTTTCAAATTTTAATATTAAACATTTTGACTATTTTAAAAATAGAAACTTCTGTTTTGTCAAGTTCCATGCATTAGATCAGGACTATACCAATTACTTAGAGAATAATGGTCAAATAAAATTTACAACCTTAGGAAAATATGGCAGATGGAACTATTTTGTTGATCATATATAACATGTTTTTGTTCTTGTCTTTCTTATGGTGTTTTAATATGAGAATTCACTTGAGATCTTTTAATTTGTAGTCAGTCCATGAAGTGCAGTAGTGTTGAGGTTTTCCGGTGCTCTAGTGTCTGTGAGAGACAACTTAACTGTGGCAAACATTTCTGTAAGGCTGTGTGTCATGACGGTCAGTGTGAACCCTGCCAGGAGGTCATTAAACAAGGTAAGAGGTCATTTGAAAGGTGAGAGGCCATCAAAACAAAGATTAAGGTTATCAGTCAAGGTCAGTACATGGTTTGAAATTCAGTCTGCATGAATAACACTAGCCCTATCCCTGTTGCTTGTAAAATATTGAACCACTTCCAGAAAGGCTAGTGTTGAAAGATTTTTACACAAATGGTAGTCTGCTTTTTAAAGGACAAGTCTTGTATCTGTTTAACAGCCTTGACACTGTCAATTTAGTGGTCTACTTGATACTTTCTTTATCTGTATTTAGAAAAGTTTTAGGAGTCTTAGGCTATAAAAGTGTCTATGCAATTTAGTGCTGATTTTGTGCATTTATAAGGTTCCCTTATTACCAGACTTGTCGAAATCCGTCAGTCCTGTCGGCAGGGCCGGTAAAAATTTGTCTGGACTGATAACTTTTAAGAAAAAGTCGGTCCAAATGACCGTTTGAAAAAATCGAGCATGATGCCAACTTAAAAAAAGGTCGGGATCAGGGTGCGCAACTGAAGGTCACAAACACAGAAGAGATGGAAACTCAGAAGGCCGCATGATCGGCGTGGTGATGATGGTCAATTTAAATTGTTACAGGAAAGACATAAAATATGTTATTTAATATGTCTCTTATTAAAGACTCTCTATCCTAAGAAAAGGAACTTGTGAAATAATTGAAGGCTGTTGAAAATAAAGGGCATTTTGGTGCTTTTATTTATTTTCCTTTCTCAGAGTCAAAAATAAGGTACATGTATTTGGTCTGACAAAACTTCGTTCGGTCCGACAGAACATTTGACTTTGGCAGACCAAATGTCTGACAGTGATTTCAAAATTTTGACAAGTCTGTATTACAAGAGGATTAATGTGTTCTCTAGCTTCTGGAGAGCTATACATACAATGTATTTAAAAATAATAAACACTGTATTGAACACAAGTTTGAATGATTGAATTTATACATGGGCATTACTGTTTGACAGATATTTGTTGGTACATTGTATTCTATATAATTGAGTATACTTTTGTATGTAAATATTATTATTCTGTCTGAGTGATATACAGTCTTCAACATAAACCTCCACCAGGCGTTAGCAGTAATTTTAAACTACATGACTTTGTATATTCATAAACTCAAAAAAAATATCTTATTTTACAGAGTGCTATGGTAACCATGAGACAAGGGAGATAACTTGTGGGAGCAGCGAGTCCTTTACAGAGTCGTTCTGCTGTGGCAAGATGTGTGCCAAGTACGTCATCCTTACAGAGTGTAGTTTTCAGATCATATGTATTTAATGCTAAAAATCATCTTCAAAGATAATTTTGCTTTGAATCCGGTTCTTCTTTGGAATGTTAATTGTCATAGAGTTTGTTTAACATATACATGTATTGGCATCAATTTGAATTTAGTTTTGGGGCCAACTGACACATTAAGGTATAATATGAAGAACAGAGAAAAATAAATATGTATTAACAACATATTTAATTTCTAACAGGAAACTGAATTGTGGGAACCATGAATGCGAGGAGGTTTGTCATGAAGGCCCCTGTCAAACATGTCAGCTCCTCCCAGAGGCCATTACAACCTGTCCCTGTGAAGCAAGAGAGCTGAGTGACCTAACCTCAACTCCCAGACAGTCCTGTCTGGACCCCATACCTACCTGTAGAAATAAGTGTGGTAAACCTCTGAAGTGTGGGCCATCTAGTAAGTGACAGCTGATGACTCAAAAATTTAAAAATAAAAGTGAAGGATTACTGTATACAATGACATTTTCGCCCCTTTCACCCTAATGACAGGTGAGCAAATTTAAAATGGGGCGATTTCAAGGAATGTAGTATAAATTCTTAAACAAAACTCTGACTGGACGAATTTAAAGGGGCAAAATTACTCGCAAGTGCAAAAGGGCAAAAATAACACGGGGCAAAAATAACTCTGTATTCAGTATATCATATTGATGCCAAGTAAAGCTTGGATGCATGTAAATTGAAAAGCATTTTGAACATAGAGCCTCGGAGTCTATAATCCTATAGAAAGTTCCTTCGTCATGTCATACATGTTTACCTAATAAAACATCAATCTCTCCAAAACATAATGCTTTATTCTACATCCATAAATATTACATTTCTTTGTGTAGAGAAGCCCCATGTTTGTGAGCGGAAGTGTCACGAGGGTCCGTGTGGACCATGTGACCTCACGACAGAAATGACGTGTCGCTGTACCAAGTTTAAAAAAGAGTTCCCATGTACTGAAGTCATGAAGCTACCAGGTATTGACATGTTGAAATGAGAATAAGAATTATTTTACAAAATACATGTGCACTTTATATATTTCATGTAGTTGTAAGAAGGTTTCTATAGTTTTCATTACTTTAATCATTTCATGAACAATTAAAAGATGACCATCTTCTATTATATGAAACTTTGGCTAGTTGATGCTTGACAGAGAGCATTAAAATTTTATAATTGTTAATTGAGATGAGGAGAATGAAATAATTTGCCTTCTTTGTTTTGCAATTTTGAATGTCCAAGTATAGAATTGATCTACAGTGTACTTCAGAAATTACATATTTGTTGATATTTGTTGATATACACAGATGTATCTGTTATTTTTGTTTTTAATATAATGTAAATTAATAAATATTTTGTAATTTTTGACTTATTATAGACCGAGTATTTCTGTGTGAGAGGAAGTGTAATAAGCTAAGGTCCTGTCAGAGACACAAATGTGGACAGCATTGTTGTGTGGTAAGAATTACCTCCCCTTAATCTTCACTGGTGGTGGATCTAAACACTTTTTAAAAAGCTTATAAAATCCAATTATTTGTAAGATGATGAAATAAAGATTTTAGAAGTTCTATAAAAACATCCATAGAAAGTAAATTCCATCATATTCAGTATTTAGTCTGCAGATCACATATGTATTTGTCTCTATTTAGTTTGAGGGTCAATGTTGCTCATTGATTTTTCTATACCATATTTAATGAAAGAATAGCCAGTACTTCAAATTAATATTTTTCTTTGTCTAGTCTAAGCTTTCCCCTGCTCATGAGTGAAATAAATTCCATATCCAACTACAAAACATTTAATTTTCTGTTTATTGCATTTTCTTTGATTTCCCCTTAATACCCCCCCCCCCCCTCGTTGTTTTATTTCTATATTTAATCTTTAATAGAATCACCCCTGTTTAGTCTGAGAATTACCCCTCTTGTTATTTTATTTCTATATTCAGTCTGAGAATCACCCCTTCTCATTTTTTTCAATTTTAGTCTGAGGGTTATCCCTGCTCACTGATTTATAGCTTTATTTAGTCTGAGGATCACCCCTGCTCATTGATTTATTGCTATATTTAGTCTGAGGATCACCCCTGCCCATTGCTTTATTGCTGTATTTAGTCTGAGGATCACCCCTGCTCATTGATTTATTGCTGTATTTAGTCTGAGGATCACCCCTGCTCATTGATTTATTGCTATATTTAGTCTGAGGATCACCCCTGCTCATTGATTTATTGCTATATTTAGTCTGAGGATCACCCCTGCTCATTGATTTATTGCTATATTTAGTCTGAGGATCACCCCCTGCTCATTGATTTATTGCTATATTTAGTCTGAGGATCACCCCTGCTCATTGATTTATTGCTGTGTTTAGTCCGAGGATCACCCCTGCTCATTGCTTTATTGCTGTATTTAGTCCGAGGATCACCCCTGCTCATTGCTTTATTGCTGTATTTAGTCTGAGGATCACCCCTGCTCATTGCTTTATTGCTGTATTTAGTCTGAGGATCACCCCTGCTCATTGATTTATTGCTATATTTAGGCTGAGGATCACCCCTGCTCATTGATTTATTGCTGTATTTAGTCTGAGGATCACCCCTGCTCATTGATTTATTGCTATATTTAGTCTGAGGATCACCCCTGCTCATTGATTTATTGCTATATTTAGTCTGAGGATCACCCCCTGCTCATTGATTTATTGCTATATTTAGTCTGAGGATCACCCCTGCTCATTGATTTATTTCTATATTTAGTCTGAGGATCACCCTCTGCTCATTGATTTATAGCTTTATTTAGTCCAAGGATCACCCCTGCTCATTGATTTATTGCTATATTTAGTCTGAGGATCACCCCTGCTCATTGATTTATAGCGTTATTTAGTCCAAGGATCACCCCTGCTCATTGATTTATTGCTATATTTAGTCTGAGGATCACACCTGCTCATTGATTTATTTCTACATTTAGTCTGAGGATCACCCCTGCTCATTAATCTGTGGAAGGAAGCTGCCTTGCGGTCTACACAAGTGTGAAGAACTTTGTCACCGAGGCAAATGTCCACCATGTCTAATGGCCAGTAAGTAGAAATCTGGGATCTGTTAAACAATAATCTCTTTTCACCTTCATATGAGGAAGATTCTGTTGGTAATTTAAGTTCACAAGAATATGAATTGGCTAATATACAACATTACCATTTTGCGAGTGAGCTTGTACAGTATGTACTTAACTCTGAAACTAAGACTCAATTGTCACCACTTTTAACATGTATATTTATTCTAATTTGTTAACAGGTGCTCTTTAAAATTTGCTATGAGATGTCTAAAATAGAGTTGTTGAACAGAGAGAATTTTTTAATAACATGCTATGAAGTTAAGGGAAAATTCCTGGCAAATCATAATTAATTTATAAACTCTCCGTTTGTGTCAAATTATACATCTCTTAATAAAGTTTCATGCTTTCAGTGATATCTGTTTTCTTGTAAAGGTTTTGATGAGTTGACTTGTCACTGTGGGGCGGAGATTATGTATCCACCCATTCCCTGTGGGACAAAGCCACCAGAATGTAAACAGATTTGTAGCCGTGTACATTCCTGTGATCATGAAAGTATGTGCAAGATTAATGTAAAGAACTCTCTCTCTCTTTTTGAATAATTATACCCCCGCTCCGAAGGAGAGGGGGGTATACTGTTTTACCCTTGTGTGTCTGTCTGTCTGTCTGTCTGTGTGTGTGTCTGCCTGTCCGTAACAAATTTTGATCGCAGTTTTCTCAGCAACTACTCATTGCAGATGCTTGAAATTTTAGCACAATCTTTGTTTAGGCATGCCATATGCTGGGAGACATTTTTGTACGAATTCAATGTCAACTTCCTGTTTATCCATGCGTCTGTCCGTACCATACATAATAAATTCTGGTCATAGTTTTCTCAGCAACTACTCATCGCAGATGCTTGAAATTTGAGCACAATCTTTGTTTAGGCATGCCATACATGTATAATGGGATTCATTTTTGTACAAATCCGATGTCAACTTCCTGTTTATCCGTGCGTGTGTCCGTCCATACATAACAAATTTTGGTCGCAGTTTTCTCAGCAACTTCTCATCACAGGTGCTTGAAATTTTAAAACACTCTTTGTTTAGGCATGCCATTTGGTGGGATTCATTTTTGTACGAATCCGATTTCAACTTCCTGTTTATCCGTGCGTCTGTCCGTACCATACATAACAAATTTTGGTCATAGTTTTTTCTCAGCAACTACTCATCGCAGTTGCTTGAAAATTTAGCACAATCTTTGTTTAGGCATGCCATATAATGGGATTCATTTTTGTACAAATCCGATGTCAACTTCCTGTTTATCCGTGCGTCTGGCCGTACCATACATAACAAATTTTGGTTGTAGTTTTCTCAGCAACTACTCATTGCAGGTGCTTGAAATTTTAACACAGTGTTTGTTTAGGGATGCCATATGTTGGGATTCATTTTTTACAAATCCGATGTCAATTTCCTGATTATCACTGTGTTTGTCCATAACTGAACTTGTGTATTCACATCACAGCGGGGGTATTATTAGTGAGCATTGGCTCACAGACTTCTTGTTTTCGTATCGTTAAGTCAAAGAAATTATACCTGTATCTTGTAAATTGGATAACTTGGCATAGAGACAAGTAAATAAAAATTGCAACAAAAAAGAAAACACGTTCATGAAAAAAAACTTCCAAAGAAAATTATTGAAAAGAATCGTTGGTTTAATTTTTTTGGACATACATAAACCATCATTTCCTAAATAAACATTCATATAATCATTCAAATCTAAATCACTTTCTTGAAGTGTATTTTGGGGGTTTTTTTTGCTCTGTAATGATTATTGTCATTATGCATCAAAGAATCAAAATAAAAGGTATGTTTTTGTAGTTTAAAATTAAATGTTAAATGCTATAATTTCAGTCCATCATCGCTGTCATAGCGATGAGAATTGTCCCCCTTGTACATTCCTGACAGAGAAATGGTGCATGGGAAAACATGAGGTATGGCTTACAAAAAATAAAGCTGTTAAACTGTATTTGCTTTAATCTTAGTGAAAATCATGTTTAAGTGAACATGTATTTTGCACTCTCAAAAGTTAGCTAATTTAAGATTACATTTAAATTGTAAATAAATAAATTGAGGTATATGACTTATAGTGCTAACTCATGATTGTGCAAGAGAGAACATGACAATGAATACATTAAGTACATACATGTAATGTAAATGCTTACATGTAATAATAATTACATAATAATTGTAATTATTTTACGGGTTATTGATTGAATTATAAGAGTGATATACATTTTTTTTTAATAGCTCAGAAAGAATATTGCTTGTCACCGTGACAACATTTCATGTGGGTTACCCTGCAACAGAGTATTACCATGCCAACAACACAAGTGTACAAAAGTCTGCCATAGTGTAAGTTATACATGTAGCCAACTTCTAGATTTAATGTAACTGAGAATATGAATGATGGTAAAACTCAGGTGCTAATACATGTATTAATACTGAAAAATGAAAGCTATAATAAAATACCTATAAATGCACAAATATTATTTCTGGAACAGAATTGTAAAATTGAAAAGCTGTTTGAAATTTTTCCTATCAAAGCAATAGCAGAAATGTTTGATTTTCTTCTAAGCAAGGGGTATTGAGCCATGTTATAGCAGTTATAAACCATTCTTTATTTAGGGCCCTTGTCAGGCAGAAGGCGAGAAATGTAAACAACCATGTCAAATAAAACGGGAAACCTGTGATCATCCATGTGCTAGTCCTTGTCACTATGGCAACCCATGCCCAGCCAATCCATGCAAAGCAAAGGTTAGTCACTTTGAACTTCCATGTAGTATTAATGGAATTTAGATTGTTGAAAATGAATCATAAAGTTTCATGAGCAAAATTGAAAAGTTTTTCAACATAGAATTTCCTAATTTGTTATGTATCTCTGAAAGGTTTTTAGGAACAAATTTACCTTATTCATTGTTCCTTGTTAGAAACAAATTTTAATGCATCATTCCTTATTTAGGATCAAATTTACCTGATACATCTTTCCTTTGTAGGAAAAAATTTACCAAATGAGTCTTTCTTTAAGTACTTATTAATAATTAATAAATGTCTTAACATATTGGTACCCTTTTATCACACTATAATTTTTTTTTATTTTAATGGAACTATGGAGATTTTGTTCAATTTTTATTAAGAGTTGTGTTTGGTGTAATATTCCAGGTTAAGATCAAGTGTAGCTGTGGAAACAGAGAGGCTACAGTCTCCTGTCAATCATTGGATAACACAGAGTTCAAAAGGTCAGTCTAAATATCCAGGTCATTATGAAGTGATCTTCTTTATGCCTTCTATGCATTGGTTAATTATTTCCTTTTTCTGTATGACAGCATATCATTCCAATCTCTGAACTTGATAGAAGGAAAAAATAAATGCATTGAAAGGAGAGGCAGATGATGATTTATTTAATTTAGTAAGAGAATATTTTTATTTACATATTTTAACCTTTGACCTTTGTTACCCTCAGTATGCAGGCACTAGCCACACCCCTTGGATCAGGACAGAGTGTTGATATATCTCATCTGACCTCACAGAAGAAAACCAGAAAACAAAAGTGAGTATAGAATCATACATTACTTTATCACATATGTGTGGTGGATACTACCCATAAGATAAACCTATGCTCTATCCAGGACAGGTATGCTTTATCAATAGCACTTCTGGTTTTGACACATTCCCTAGCTTCAAGATGCAAATTTATCAAAACTTCTATTTGTGAAAATTCTTGCATTATAAAGTAAATGATGATGAGCAAAAATGTTCATTAAAAACAAGAAAAGATTCATTACACCTTGATGAAATGTCAAATTCAATCATTGCATTGTACTGGCTACTGCAATGACAGATGTTAACCCCCCCCCCCACCCCCCAATTCATTCTCATAGGTAGTGTTGCCAAGGAGTTCAGTTGTTGGTGCAAGATTCATTTGACCATGCAGGAAAGTCTAGTCACTTTCAACAATGCTTTCGTACTTCAGAGTGCTGGAGTGTGATGCTGACTGTGCTCTGATTGAGAGGAATCGACGACTTGCTCTGGCCCTGGAGATCAAAAACCCAGACCTACAGGCCAAGCTGGGAAGCCCCTCATACTCAGAATTCCTAAGGGATTTCACGAAGTAAGATCCCATTTTTTAATAATTTTAATTAATAAAATTAATGTATCTACATGCTTTTTGAGGATATACAGTCATGTACGTGTAAAAATTCTCCAGCCCATAACAGGGTTTATAATAAAAAAATTATAGAAACTAAAACTTCATACAGAAAATTATATTGAGTTATACTTGACCATGGGTCATTTCGAAAGGTCAAGATTCAATGACATTTGTGTTGCACAAACATGTATTGTTGATATATTTATCAAAATAATCACTAGTAGTGGCAATTGATATTTAGAATTTATGATCTGGAATATACATGTACATGTTCGAAGTAACCTGTATTTATTTGGTCTGTGTTATTCTGTATTCTACTGTATTAAATATGTATATATTTTTCACAGAAAAAATCTTCATATTGTGTCAAGTGTGGAGAAAAGTTTCAATGATTTGGTACAAAATGCCAAAAAGGTCAGTCAAAGTTTTATTACAAAAATCAATTTGAAAAAACTCAAACATTGATAGCTGGGTTTTTTTATGTCCAGTATTTATAATATGGCACCAAAACTCTTCATTTTGGTTCACTTAACATTGTAAACACTTATATTATATTGCATAGACTTCTATCAAATTTATTTATAGGCAAAACAGGCATATCGTTCTCATTCGTTCCCATCAATGAACCGTGACCAGAGACGACTGATCCATGAACTAGCCGAGTGTTATGGATGTGAGACCCAGAGTTATGACTATGAACCTAATAAAAATGTGGTGGCAACTGCGTACAAGTATGTCTTGACTTGTCTTTACTCTAATTTACTTTTTTCTTGTCTGAACTTACCTCGACTTTGTGAAAATAATCAAATCCATAAATTCAAATTTTTTTTTTATCTTTGATAATCTCTTAGTCTTGGAAAAACTTTTATTCATATTAGACATGCTGTTAAATAAAACTTAAAAATTTCAGAGACAAGTGTTGGTTACCTACTGTGACCTTGACTGCATATGTACAGAGAGAAATGCATCCCAAGGCTCCCACACCAATACCCCACAGACACAACGAAACAGAAATCAGGTATTAAATTCAATGCTTGTGATAAAATCAAATTTAAATTTAAAAAATATAGTGAATATTTAAAATAGATTTAACATCAGTTTCTGAAGAAACCTTATTATAAAAGTTGAGAGTTTTGAATGGAAATTGTTACATGTATATTTAAACATAGATGTATTATCTCTATTTAATATGAAAATGAGAAATAATACTGAAGTCTTCTTGTCTTAAAATTCTCACATCTAATAAAGTTACATTGTTTTTTTCAGAGAATCTGCCCTGGCTGCCAAACAGAGTTTTGAGGTGCTGAAAGATAAACCTATTGAGACAATACAGAGGTCAAACAACTCCAAGGAGAAAACCAGTGGTTCTAAAGTGATCGATTATTTTGACTTTTCAACAAAATAAGTCACATGTCTTCTATATCTGATGATGCTGAAGTTTATTTTAGGGATTTTGTTTGATATCTGTTTGATAAGATTTTTTTGTTCACTTAAATGCGTACTTTGGATTTTTGTTTACATACTTGTATGTTTATAGAAAGAATTTTTCTCCTTTATACTGTAATTTATGCAAACACACAAGTACATGCCTGTTGCAAAAGATCACACCTTAAAAATTCAGATTTTCTGTAGATAAGCATTTCAAACTCTGATACAATTAACGTTGTAAAATATTGACAAAGAGCAAAATCCACGAAGTGCCAGAATCGGCCCAGTCATCAAAATAAATGAAACTTTCTCACATAATACTCTTAAGATTTGTATGTTGTAAAACATTTTATTTTTACGTACTTTTTTGCCCCACAATACAAAATAACCTATAATAAATAGAACATTTTGCATTTCGAAACTTTTTACAAAGGCAATATAGAATCTTTTTCTTTTCTATTAATGTAGGGTAATCCCCGTTATTTCCACTGTGTTGATAGGTGCTATATGAGATTCTAATCGAACGAAAAGTATAAATTTCGATTTGGCCACACCCCTCGATTAAAATAAAAATATGCTTTATTTATTTACCTTTTAATTCTTTTTTCAATGGTATAAATTTTATTTTGTTTGAAGGCTGTGGCCACAGCAAAAATTTGAACCAAAGACGAAAAAATGCTTTATTTTGATATAAAGTAGCAAAGTGCACGTGTTTAGACGTTTTCTGTATAAATATGACGTCATCAAATAAAAAAAATTGGCATAAACTATTTAAGTTTGATACCCAAGGATAATATTTCTATTGTTAATTTTCTTCTTCCCCTCAGTTTAATTTTCCTGAAAAAAAAATAGGCTGATTTAGCCCCTTCGTGGATTTAGCTCTTTAATATGTTATAATTACAGTTTTTGTTGTAAAATGCTGCGGCAATACAAAGAATATGTGCATTCTGTCTCAGGTACCCAGCTTGTGTTTAAACATCTTTATTTGTCAAACATCAAGTAGTAATGCAGCATTTCATGACTGAAAATTGATTAAGTTATACTATGATTGGGATATTCAGGTAAAATTCTATATATATTTCAGTTAACACAAATTTAAGTTCATTTGAATTTTCATTTCATTATCAAATAAATTGTGTAAGAAATTTGAAACTGCATGTATTCAAGAGATGGATCATTCATGTTAGCTATACTTTGGTTTATACATGTTTGTTCATATAACGGCCCACACTTGTTAGAATTTGGTGCATATTCTTGATTCCATGTTGGGTTGAGCAAAATTAATTCTATAATTTGTTGATCATTACATCTTAGTGAGGTGGAGATTAATTAAAATGCTTATGTGGAAAAATAGAACAATTATGTAGTGATTTGTTTTTCTAAAAAGGATTTTATTACAGCATTAAATAGCTCTGACTTAGCTTTTGATATTAAAAATTTTGCTTTTTTGTTAAAATTTAAATTGGGTAATTAAGTTGTTTTAAGATTTGTGCATCCATAGAAATGCTACCCCCCCCCCCCCCCCCAAAAAAAAAAACAAAAAAAAAAAACTTGGGAATACTACATATATATTCAAGGATATTGAAAATATTTTTATTTTGTATCCTTTCAGTTGCAAATGAAATCAAGGAAAAGTTTAATTTTCAGAGACAGGATCTAAGTATTGAAATAAGGTTAATGGAAAAACTTTTTTTCTGCAAAGATTCTCTTGCTCTGTGTCAGGCAGAATGGAGGAGCAAATTGTAACTCATGGATAGCTGAGATGAAGAGAAATGTGAACAAGCACTGTAAAGAAAATCTGTTTAAAATATTCATAATTTTTTTTTCTAGTTTCAAATAGATATCCCTCCTCTCTCTCTCTCAACATAAGCCGAATTACATTGTAGGTGGAGAAAGGGAGTCCAAGTTAATATGAAGTATAATCTAACTAATTTAGAGAATGAACCACTTTTTCAGCGGGTGATACAGATTTTTCCACTAATCAAATGTTTTCTCGTTTTTGTTTCTCAAAACTGTCAAAATTTTATATGATAGTGAATATAACAAAAATAATATTGGATGAAAAGTGAATTATGTTTTAAATCAAATAAGATCATTTTGCAATTCAATATGCTGTCTGTTTGCCAGCCAAAATTAAAATTTTGCCAAAATTTTGGTGGCAAATTTTTGCCACCACTTATCAGATATTTATGTTGACTTGTCAGATATTTATGTCGACTTGTCAGGTATTCATGTTAACTTATCAGATGTCTATGTCAACCTATCAGATTTTTATGTCAACATGAAATATTTATGTCAACTTGTCAGATATTTACTGTACACAGGGTTATTTTTACTTTGTGTTCTTTTCCCCATTCACACCTGCGAACAATTTTGCCTCGTTTTAAATTGGCCCAGTCACAGTTTTGTTTAAGAAATTATACTGTTACAGTACGTGTTTTTTGAATTTGCACCATTTTAAATTTGCCCTCCTGTGATAAGGGCGAAAGGGGTGAAAATTTTCCTGTATACAGTATGTCAACTTATCAGATCTTTATGTCAACTAGTACATGTAAGAAAACAGTCATCATGACCAGAAACTCGGCATCTTGTTATCAAAAGTGTATGCACGCCCCTAACTGACATTTACTTGTCATCATAATATCTGACAAGTCATTATAATTTTATGTGTCCTACAAGGAAATATAATTATCAGACAAATGTTTGATTTTCTGGCAAGTAGACAATTTTTCTGGCAGATTGACGTAAAGTTTTGAGAAGTAAACATAATTATCTGAGATATGGACATAATTTTCTGAAAAGTCATATTTTTGTGATAACTGAAAATTTCTGACAAGTCATCGTAATTATCTGACAAATGAACAGAATTATCTAAATCAACTTGTTAGATGTTATGTTGACTCATCAGATATTGATGTTGACTTGTTAGATGTTATGCCTACTTGTTAGAAAGTTATTTTGACTTTTTAGATTTAACGTGGACTTCTTAGAAAACCATGTTGACTTGTCAGATGTATTGTCGACCTGTTAGACGATTATGTTAACTTGTTAGGTCCTTAAGTTGGTGTCGGAAAAATATGTTGTCAACTGATTGGCACAAACTGGGCGTGGACACATTTTCATGTTGAAGTTTCAAACATGAATAAGAGACGAGTCGTCATAATTATCTGACAAGTCAACATAATTACTGATAAGTCAATATAAACACCAGACAAGTTGACATAAACACCTGATAAGTGGTAGCAGAAATATGCCACCATAAAGAATAAAATCATCAGAATTCCAAAATATCTATCACTCTTGCTGTTTTTCTGGTAGAACAAATCATCGTGAATGACATCAATTTTTTTCATTTTGACATATGGCCAGTATTTGTAAAAAAGAATAATCTCTTAATACCTTTAAATTTATTAATGCATTTCTAAGACTCCCACAGTGGAACTTGTTGGGGGGTGGGGGGTGTATAGAAATCACCTTGTCCATCTATCCATGCAATCTTGTCCAAGCTATAAATTTGTAGAATCAGTTGAAGCTCAAACTTGGTACAAAGATTGTTTATTATGTGAAGGTGTGTTTTGGCCTTGACTCAAGGTCATTCTTTTAAGTTCAAGGTCAAGGGCAGAGTATTAAAAAAAGTTTTCAGGCTATACATGTAACTTTGTAATGGAGAATAATTGGAGATCATACTCGGATTGGAGATTGCTTATGACCTGAGGGTTTGTCCTTCTCTTGACCCTAGGTCATTCCATCTATTTCAAGGTCATCAGCAAAAAAAGTATAAAATTCTTGTCTGGGCAAAAACATGTAACTTTGTAATGGAAGTTAATTGATAACTCATATTTAGTACCAGGGGCCACACCGCTCTGGCTAGGAAAAAGCAGAAATCAGTTCATTCTTGAAAAGTGGTTCGGAGGGGGGAAAGGGTTGATTTGAACTAACTTGAATCTATACTTCCTAGGGATGTTTTGAATGGCTTTGCTGTTCTTAAGAAAATTTTTATTGATATATCCTTTGTATAACTATTATCCCCTGTTATGACCCCTCTATCTCCTGGGGGGGTGGGGGGGGGGGAGGGGGGTGTCATGATTTGAACAAACTTGAATCAACACCACCTGAAGATGCTTCCATTTAAATATGACCAATCATGGCTTTGCTTGTTCTTGAGGCCCTTTAGGCCCTATAGGTTCATTTCAGAGTAATTAAAATTTCTTTAGTCACCAAACTTGCATGGGTGACGTATCTTGTACATTAACTATAAGCTCTTTGATTACCAAACTTGCATGTATGATGCATCGAGGATGTAAACTAGCTGCTGGATGTGACCTACATCTTCTGGATGAGTAATAATGCTAAAGCTTTTTAAACAGATCCATTCCTACATGTAAGAACTAAGTAAAATAAACTTGCCTACATTTCCAGATGAGTGACAAACTTAAAGTTTTTGGAGCAGAATAATTACAATTCCAAATAATAACAAAATACTTAGTTCTTTCATGTAGGAATGGATCTGTTTAAAAAGCTTAAAGTTTTTGGAGCAGAATAATTACAATTCCAAATAATTGCAAAACCTACTTGGACCAAACTTGCATGAATTATGAAATGTACACCACCAGACCTGTTCTGCTCTTCTGACCTACATTTTTAAAATAAGTGACAATGTTGATGTTTTGGAGAAGGACCATTAATTTCACATGGAAGTTACTTTAGGCCCTATGATGCTCAAACTTGCATAGATGATGTAGCTAAGGATGCTCCCTACCCGCTTGCTTCAGATGCTGGATCTGACCTTTATTGTAGATGACTGACTAGGGGAAAGTTTTTCGAGAAGTTCCATTCCTAACCATCTATAAGTCCTGTGGTGACCAAATATGCATAGATGATGCATAACACTACTAATACCTATTTCAGATGCTGAATGTGACCTATGTGACCTACATCTTCTGGATGAGTGAACGTTTATATAGTATATTTATCACACTGTAATAATGATTTTATGAGTTTGTACAAGCCAGACGTCAAAAGTTTTTCCATTTCACATGCTGAATACCATCATTTAGTAAATCCCCCCCCCCCAAAAAAAAAATTCAAACAAAAAAAAAGAGAGGATCGTCTCGGGAATTGAACCCGGGACCTCTCACATGTTAGGCGAGAGTCATACCCCTACACCACGGAGGCACTTGATTGAACCGCTAATTAAATGCAAACATTAAGTCACGTATAATGTTTATATATTCACGTTCGATATTGTCAAAATTTTACACAATACATGGTGTCTAATTTAGCCTTTACTAAACAGTTCTAATAGATGTAATAAGAATATAAAGTCCGTCGACAACCTGTATTATAGGTAATAACTCTCCACATGCCCCAGTGCTAAAAATAGTGCCAAGCGACTTTAAATACAATAAATAAAAAAAAACAACGTGGTGGGACACTTTGAAAGAGGCGAGAGAGGCCCTAGGGAGTTATGATATAAAATTTCATTGCAAAAGCTCAAAAGCTTCTTGAGATATTGCCTGGAAACGAAAGTGTTACACACAGACGGAATATATGAATTTACGACCTTGAACTTTGACTTTTTGACCTCAAAATCAATAGGGGTCTTCCTTAGGCTGCAAGGAGTTGTTATGTAAAATTTCATTGCAAAAGCTCAAAGGATTCTCGAGATATCGCATAGAAACGAAAGTGTTAAAACAGACAGAATTTATGACCTTGACCTTTGACCTTTTGACCTCAAAATCAATAGGGTTCTTCTTTAGGCCATAGCAGTTGCTATGCAAAATTTCATTGCGAAAGCTCAAAGGGTTCTCGAGAAATCGCGCGGAAACGAAAATGTTACAGACAGACGGAAATACAGACGGACGGACAGACAGACCCAAATTAATATCCCTCACTTTCAGTGAAAGCGGGGGACAAAAATGATTTTCAATTTCAGTCAAGGGATTGCTAGCCTACCAAACACACAAGTTGGCTGGTAGATTTGATTATCAGGAAAACGACCGATTTCTATGCGAAATAAAAGGATTCGACGTCTAAATCGAGCTATAGCCAATAGTTCATGTTTTGTAATTTTGGATATTATATAAGGTTAATTCGAATCTTGATTTAAATTAGCATATTTTTTCAAGCTTGACACATAGTGAATGTTTGCACTCCACTCCTTTCCAGTATATTGAAAAAGTTTTTGCCCAATTTTCTTGAATATTACACGTTAACAAAATTTGTTCTCAGTATGAAGTAAATTACAATCGCGTGGGAACACCATACTAATACTCAAAGAAGAGTAGATCCAAACGTTCCCAGCAAACGGTCCCATAAATGCAACAGGTATATAAACATTTAAACACTGGTTATTATAATTTAGTGCAATTCATCAAAATAAAAAAAAATAAATACTAATTTTTTTTTCCTTCAAATTTCTTACTCTAAAGTCATCAATTACTCCAAAAGGAGGAAAAAATCGGTGATCCAATTACACATCAGGAAATGTGCTCTTGTCACATCCAGATCAAAGAGTGCAATTATAAACTTCAGTATACATGTATTTTTGGCGAAATTTCCGAAATTTTGGATAATTGTGTAATTTTTATGATTTGCAATGCCATGATAATCTGAGTAGAACAAATCAGTCCAATATATTTTAATACTGTTTCCTTATTGGTCAATAGTTCAAGCAAATGTTATTTGGAACAGTTAAATTTTAGATCCAATCTATTATTCCACAATATTTTGTCCGAAGCGTATTGTTCATTAGAAATATTTTATTAGTTCATCAGCAAACCATATTTCCTGCAGGTTTACATCTTCAATGAAATCACTTTCAATTTTCCTGAATACAAACCAACCCAGCACCTTCCCTTACTGTCCACACTCAGTCCTCCCGGCGTGTCTAATCCACAGTTATCCACACATTGTAGAAATTGTCCATTTTGATCAAGAATATGCAGACAATCATTGTTATGATCTGTAACAATGATCTGACTCAAGGAATTAGTGGCTATTTGCTCTGGACAAAAATATTTCTTTCTCCTAGCTTCATAACCGTCGTACCGGAAGCTGACTTTCCCTTTCGCATCCACGACAACCACTTTCTTTGCATTTCCATCGGAGGCACAAATATCCCCGTTTTTGTTTTCAGCTAAATAAATTACAAAGTTTCCCCTTTGAAAAATAGGGTTTCCATCAGAATCGTTCTGTATTTCCTGTATTGCTGTCTCTCCGGCATAACGAACTATTTTGTGATCATGGACAACATCGTCAGTAATCAGGTCGACAAGGATGTCGCCTGTATTGGTACAGCATAGTCCCCACGGCTTCCAGCCTTCAGGTGCTTTTATCAGTGGTTTTGTTGTATCAAGTCTGACAATTTTCACATTTTTACTGAAAAATGCAGTGTAAATCAGTTCCCCTTGTTTAGTCACTGAGATGTCAGCTGGTTCCTCAGTAATGCTGATAGACTCTTTTACAGACCCACGTATGTCCAAGCGTAAAATTAATTAGCTTCCAACACCGATCCATGCTTCATCAGATCCAACACAGGCTATTGTATAAAAACACTTGCACATCGGTAAATGCTGAACATCAGCAATCACTCTGCATTTCCCAAGCAATTCTGTCGAAGACAACGCGGGGACGTCTTTGGTTATACCGACAAGTAATGTCTGTGTTAATGTAGCTTTGTATTCTCCCAGTTCTATGCTTAGTTCTTTATCTAGGTCTGTGTTTACTTTTAAGGAAGGAATGGTTACATCAATCCTTTTAGGTGTAGCTTCGTATTCCTGAAGTTTTGATTTGTAGTTGACAATTTTGGAGACTACTTTGGACCTTAGGATTTCTTTGTTTTCCTTTATAGTTTCGATCATTCTCTCGGTCATATTTTTTGGTGCATGATTTTGTTCGGTTAGGGATTTTATCGCCTTGTCTTTCATGGACCTAATAAAATTCTGGTGTTTTTCAAAGATTTTATCTACTTCCTGACGCCAGCATTTTTGGTGTTCTTCTAATTCGCTTTCAAGCTCTTCAAATTTTAATGTTGTTTTTGAAATATTTGATTTCTGTGCATCACTTTGCTGCCTCTCCAAATCCAATTTCTTCTGAAGTTCCTCTGATTCTAGCATAATCTTTTTTATGTTGTTGTAGTAATCGGCAGGAATTTCTTCAATATCGTGGCCTTTGTGTGAAATAATGACGCATTTCATGCAGACCACTGCATCACATTGTTGACAGCAGGCCTCACATCTCTGGCCTAGGTGTAATTCACATTGCTGACTTACCACTTTCGCTTTTCTGTTAGTAAAGGGAACAATGTCATGCGGAAGTAGCTTCTGTGCATTGACATGTTCATTGATACAATTTCCACAGAGTTTGACCTGACAGCTATTACAAAATTGGTAAACTGCTGCTTTGTTACATATATCACAAATGATGACTTCTTGAGCCCAAGTAATTGGTGTGGTCATTTTTCTTGTTGACCTTGTAGAAAAATTTAAAGAAATTGATTGAAAGTTACTTAAGTTGTGTTTGTGATTGTAATTTTCAGGCTAGTTTTAAAAAGGTACTTTAAAAATAATAAATCACATGTTTGCAAGAATCACTCACCTTTGAAACTATTTTGAAACAAGTTTATCTCGATCCAGTATATGATACAACTTAACAAAATTCCCCCTCCCAGATATATTACTTTCGGTTTGATTTAACTTCCTCTAATTTGTTATCTTGAACGTTGCTCAGGGAATAAAGCCCCCCGGTTTTTCACCTTCGTTTTCGAGTACGTGCATATTTTTCGGCAAGATTGGTTCGTTTTTCTTGTGACCCCCCCCCCCCCACAAATTCGAAGTCATTATTATGAAAAATTGTTTTAAAGTATGTTATGGTATACCTGGACCCCTCCAAAAAACCATTGTCCGGTGCGAACTGTAGCGGACAGTAGGTAAGGAGTTTAATTGCATAGTAAGTGAGTTAATTTTTCTAGTTATGCGATAGAAACTACCTGACTATTTCAGACAGGTTAAGCTGCAGCGAACCTGAAGAGCCCTGGGATGGGTTAAACCGCTTCATCTTACTTTGTAGAAACAGACGGGGGTAAAGTGCGTTACCCTAGTTCAAGATGGTGACAGGCAAAGCACTTAGTTTACGCGTTATAGAGTACAGACTTACATTACGTAAGTCTGTATAACGCGTAAACTAAGTGCAAAAACGAAGATGCGACTTCAAAACGCACTCTGTCGGTCAATCTATGAATCAGTGCACCAAACTCCATGTAACTGAAAAATTCTTAATGCGATGACAATATTTAAATGATTAGGATAATGAGTATTGTTTAATTTAGTTTGTGTTCCTATTAATTTTATCATATAATAAAACTAAATGAGTCTGAAAGATTTAGATGCGGTGAAGAAAACTTTTCAAACATCTACAGATTAATTAAAGTATCATCGATAAAGAGAAACGGAGGAGATAAAGGGATAGATTTTAATTTTTTGGATGGACATTTGCATACTGTACGGATAATGGGACTTTTTAAGTACCTTTACACTTAATGGAGAAACGGTGCGCAAAATTAACTTTGCTGTACCTATTGAATTGTTATGATTATATATTATGAGGGTTTATAATTGACAAATTATTAATTATCAATCTATTTCTATATATTTGTTCTATTATTTTTCGGTCTTGTTTGACATCTGTAGTTTAAGATTAATCGTTTCTATTTGATGTTTAGAAAGGGGATTCTTGCACATGGTAGCAATATCTAATCCTTTACATCTCTTTCCTGTCTCACGATATCAATGTCATTTACTCATACGTGTTATCAACTTTATGGTTAGATCTTAGGATTGTGTTCTTTGAATTTGTTATGTTTAGCTCTACCTAATTTCAGTCTTGTAAATTAATGTCATACAGATTCCCCCTGTTCATGCAACTTTCTTATCCTTAATTTAATTGGCTGGAAAGTACGAAAGTGGGCGGAGTTGTCAAAGATTAGATGTGAGTGAGTTTGTATGTGAGTCAATCTATGAAAATTCTTTGTAAAATTCAGTTTGTTCCATCTACGAAATTCCTTTGTTAAATTCAGTTTGTTTATAAAATGCATTTGTGAATTTAATATTTTTGGACTTATAATAAATTCTGAACTTTAAAACCGTTTTATCATTTAGCAACAATATTACATGGTGGAGAATCTTAATTATTTTTCTTTGGACTTTAAAGTATTACATCATGGATAACAACTCTGAATATTTTGGATTTTGTTCGTCTTATCAAACTGTTCTTGAAATGCCAGCAGACAGTCATTTTTCGTAATTTTAACTTTTGGACTTTTTTTACGCCTTTGGATTAAAAAAAAAGCTGTGAAGATTTTGGAGTATATTCACCACATCTGACTATTCTTGAAAATGTCAGCAAACTTTGGACATGAACCAACTCAACATCACTTATCAACTTTATGGGATAAAGTTTTTACCTATTTACAGTGCAGAAATTAATGGGGAACAACGTAAAATTCAGTTGGACAGAAGAGTAACGATCTGCATTTGCTGAACCCCTGTGCTCAGTTTTCCTCGGTATGACCCCCTACTCGCACTTGACGCTTCATGCCGTGGATTAGGATTCCAACAGGAGCATGCAAAATGTACCATGCAAGGGACCAGACTCCGGCTCTGAAACGTTCCTCGACTCTAAAAGGACTATCCAACAACCTATTAGACCTAGAGATGAGAACAATATCTATCCGAAGTTCTTTATTACCAACAGAGTTTCCTCTGATAGTGAAGGCTACCACCGATTCCAGAAGATTGTGGGTACCGTCGAAGTCACAAACCACAGAAAGTCAAGAGCTGGCAAACCAACAGACACTGCTTTTTGGGTTACATCACATATTCGCCATGCCAAAGCCAGTGAAACTGTCCGATCATCCTTTATTGACTGACATTTTCTTGTTTAAAAAGCCATGATTCTTAGGTGTACATATGTTAAGGCATGCGACAAGGTAGTTATTTTAGTACTTTTCATAGAACTGTATATTTGTTGTTTAATGTGCTTTAAGCTTGCAGTTGCATGAAAGCAGTTTTTTTCATTAAGATTTGCGATGTAGCTATAGGTGTGTTTTGTTTTTAATATCATTATGATTTTGCACAGGTACGAGTGTGTTTTTTTGCTCAAGTTATATAACTGCAAGAGCTTACACGTTTCTCGTGATGCTAATTACTAATGAGTATTGATCACGATCTGAGCTACCAATGTTAGGTGAGGTAGCTGTTGTGAGAGATAGTTTGTATACTTCTGAGGCGTAATGATGCCTTGATTTGATAAGTATTTGGATCATATGTCGTTTATTTTGCAACTTTGTTATAATGTACAGCTTGAAAATAAGCGCCAGTACGGTAACAATGTTATGAGTGTTGCATTTAGCGATGACATGCTTATATGAGGCATGATCCCTTTTTCTTATTCTTGTTATATAATTTTGTATTTTTTTTTCTTACTGTGGCGCCTTGTATAGATTTTTGATTTTATGATTATTGGCTTTTTGAGATCATTACTATTGCAGTGATATATGTTTGATATGAAAATTGGGCACAACACTTTTGTCCGAGAAGGTAATTTGCTCTAGTTATCTAACTGCAGGAGCTCGTCTCGGGGTGAGAAAAGGAGAAAATTTAATTAAGTCGAGTGACCTACTATGTGAGGGAGCAATGTTTATAAGCTCTGCTATTAATTACTGTTTGATTGTGGCTGTTTCAAAGTCATTGTTTATCTAAGTAATTATTTTAGCTGCTGTATATCAATGTCTCCATGTATGCTAATTGTTTTGTAAACCATGCTACTTGTATGATGGATGAATATTAGTATTCAATCAAACGTGTCATTTTGGGTTATACCTATTTTACAATTACAATTTCATATGTTTCTAATGTACAGCTTAATGATAAGCGCAAGTACGAGAAGATTGTCTTGAGTGTTTACTCATGTCGTAATATGTGCATGACACTTGTTTATTATTATTATTTTTTTACTTTATTTCCTCATTTTGCTCATTTTCTCCCTTCATTTTTAATATGCATTTATTAACCCATGTAAAATTGTTTTACAATTTTATTTTCTGTGGGCGGATGTTATGATTATGCATTATGAAGGTTTATAAATGACAAATTATTAATTATCAATATATTTCTATATATTTGTTCTATTACTTTTCGGTCTTGTTTGACATCTGTAGTTGAAGATTAATCGTTTCTATTTGATGTTTAGAAAGGGGATTCTTGCACATGGTAGCAATATCTAATCCTTTACATCTCTTTCCTGTCTCACGATATCAATGTCATTTACTCATACGTGTTATCAACTTTATGGTTAGATCTTAGGATTGTTTTCTTTGAATTTGTTATGTTTAGCTCTACCTAATTTCAATCTTGTAAATTAATGTCGTACAGATTCCCCCTGTTCATGCAACTTTCTTATCCTTAATTTAATTGGCTGGAAAGTACGAAAGTGGGCGGAGTTGTCAAAGATTAGATGTGAGTGAGTTTGTATGTGAGTCAATCTATGAAAATTCTTTGTAAAATTCAGTTTGTTCCATCTACGAAATTCCTTTGTTAAAATCAGTTTGTTTATAAAATGCATTTGTGAATTTAATATTTTTGGACTTATAATAAATTCTGAACTTTAAAACCGTTTTATCTTTTGGCAACAATATTACAGAATATTTTGTAAAGCATTTGTCCAAGAGTAAGATGAATGCAGATCAACCTTAGCTTGGATTCTTAAGACTTCTGTAACATATTTCCTAAAAGTTGCATTTAAGTACTTGAGGATGATGTTTACCCAGAGATTTAGTTGACAGATATGGAATGCTATAAAGTACATTATGTTATAATTGCATAGTTAGTGAATTAGGCTGTCTAGTTATGCGATAGAATCTACCTTACCATTTCAGATAGGTTAAGCTGCAGCGAACATGAAGAGCCCTTGGATTGGTTAATTCGCTTCATGTTAAATTGATGTATTATTTCCAAGTATTACTAACGTTAAGATGCTTTGACCCAGAACTTTTCTATCAAGGCATAAATTCAATTACCTGATTAAAGGGAGGTAAGTCTTTGTTTACAAATAAAGTTGTCGTCTGCAGAATACAAGCAATGGGTGCCAGGGGAAAGGATTTGACAGATAGGCCAAAAAGTTGATCCTAAAACTCTGTTTTTCACCACTGTAACAGTGGAAAAAAATGGGGGAAATATAAGGAATTAATAGATTACAGTGTGTCATTTTTTGAAAGGATTGAAAACCAGGAAAATACCAGTTTATCAAAAAGAAGTGCAAATGTGGCAGAAAAAGTCATAGTAGTGAAAGATCAGACAGAAGACTTTTGAATATCGTAAAAGTTATGAAAATACACCACAGAAGCTATCCAAACGCACAGTGCAAAGGAGATTGCATGAAAATGGGTATCACAGGAGAGTTGAGAAGAA